AGAGTTAACAGTCTTATATAATTTAATTCTTGCGCAAATACGACACATTAAGAGCAACGCACACTACACATGCTACTGGGGTGACCTGCTAAACCGTGTTTACCACCGCTCTCGTATATAGAGTTTAAGTTAGAAGTATAATCAAAGGTGTGCTATCCGTGTTTGAAAATGTCCATATATCATGGTTTTAAAGTCAGACCTTCAACAAATGATAAAACCCCACAAAAAACAGTGCCTTAATCATATATTCCCTTCTAAATTGTGAAGAAGGCATAGCGGTCGAAATAGATCATGATTCGTTTAGAATTAAGATATCGAATTGGGATTGGTTTCAGAAATCGACTCCAAGTGCAAGGAGAGCTCTAGCAATTCCTCTGGAGTAAGAGGTAATTTTTTTCTCCAGGAAATTTCGATTAGGCGCGAAAATTCCAAATGTTACTTCTTTAAAGACAGGTGTGAAACGGTTAGCTAATTATTTGCAAGTTTAATTCAATTGCTCGATTTTAATATGGTGAACCTCCTCTTTCTCCATCTTCGTTAAAATTTTTGATCCGTCATCGTGATCTTTCCTACAATGCATTACATATCAACACCCTGAGGTACAGAGGCCTCTGTCATATTGGTAGAGGAACACTGATAATAGAGGGGGGAGTTTCCAGTGGTTTTTGAAACTCAGGGTGCTACATGTACTGGGAAATGAACAGGAATACTGATAGTAGAGAGATGTGTTCTTAGTGTCATCTGAAACGCAGGGTACATACAAGTTTTTAAATGACGTCTATAAAGTTATACTTGAAAAATAATTTCACACTGCCTTGCGATAACACCTTTTTACATTAACGATGAAATACGATAGTCCTAGCCCTCTCACCTGTCTGTCGTCTTAAGATTAAGTCTTTTCAATTTTCTTAAGCCCGTGTTTAATCTCTTAATTTTCACCGGTAAGTCAAGTTCTTACCTGGGAGTTAACAGGTCCGTTTAGATATTTAGTGCATTTGCAAATGGCCATTTTTTTATCGCCGAAATATTATAAGGGTTTAGAATCTACTTCAGAGAAAGGGATTAAACTGAAAGACCTCAACTTAATTTAAGAATTACAATAGGTTTTTGGCAGGAAGACAGATCGAATTCCAATGTTTTGAGGAGAGTTAAATGCAGTTTTTAAGTTAAACGACTAGATCCATTAATATACCCTTAACGGTAAAACATCAATATTTACTGTTCATTCGCACTGTTAGATGATGTCATATTGCGAAAAAAGAATGAATTATGTCTTGAGGGCTATTTTGTCCGCACATTTTCGCGTCTATGGAGGCCATTTCACGAAATGTACTGTCGAGAAAATGAGACGAAAGGAAATAACTTTTAGTAGCCAATTTTCCAGTGAATATCCGTGCCTAAGAAAACGATTCTATTGCTCCCTTTTACCCTTATGTTCTACATTGTATCTGTCTGTCTCTTCGCCTGTCGCTCTGTCTGTCTGTCTGTCTCTCTACCTACATATTGTACACTGTGTATTGCATATAATTTATATGGTATTATTTTATCATATATCAATAAATAAACACAAACACACTATGCGATCTACAATATACGACTTGCTTTTGACATCACGCACCTGTATATTAACTTCACTACCTTACAAGAAAGACTGTATTTATTTAATTGCAATCAGCTGCTTTAACAAGAATGTATTTAAACAGCGACCATGAAGTTCTGTATTGCATCAACAATCAAATCACACCTGGAAACAAAGCGACTTCGTTGTCAATAAGGAAAATAATACTAGTACATGAATATTGTCCCCTCTCCCCCTGAATAGACCCGTTTTCGCCGATCATTAACAAACTATGTTCGGTTTTTAAATAACTTATTAACTAATTAATCAATTAATTAATTTATGACCAGAGATAAGCGAGGATAGGTATAAGCCTGTTGAACTAGCAAATTGACGCGCAACACATAAAAGCTATAGCAACTCATAACTATGTAGTGCCCACACTTAGCAAAATAGATATGATAGAAAATATTAAATAAAAGATAGTGTTCACTCTTTGAACCTCTTTAAAACAGGGTACAGGAGTGTGTCGCGAACGAACACAACGAAATATTACAACATTAGTCATACAGGCAAAAGCAACTCACGTTTTTTTCAGCACGCAACAGCCACCTCTCCGACGACACTTCCGCGGTAAAGTTCACCACCTCAAATCAAACCCGCCATCCACAACAGAGAGCCCAATTAATCTATAGCCTAATAAATTACGCAATGTGACACGACGGCAGTACGGCAAATATGCTTACCATAAGTGCAGTGGTGTAATACAAAATGGGTCCACGGTTTTGTATGCTAACATGGAAAATTTGGACAAAACTGTTTGAACAAACGCGTTTACCGCTGGCATTGTAACGCGATCGGAGGGTTATTTTGACGCCAGTCCCTGCCCCCGGGGGACGGGGGAACAGTACAGCACATAGGTGATTCGACCCCGCCCTCAAGGCCGTGCTTGAGTGGTTCTTTGTGGGTTTGGGGACGTGCCTGTGTTTGGAGTTGATGGAGTAGACGTTATGTAATCTGAGAGAGTGCGTGTGCGCACGTGCGAGTGTGTGAGCGGGCGCGTACATTCCTGTGCGAGTCTGTGTGCCCGTGTTGGGGAAGCCGAGCGTATATTAATGTAGTGGTTGCATGTGAGCGCGTTCAATGTACTCGCGTTTGTACATAATTACACAATGATGGACGTGTTTTTGTACTGTAGGAAACGCTGTCGTTATGCGCATCTGGCCGCATGCGCATTTTTGAGACGCCTTTATGAACGACTTTGTTGAATTAAGAAAATAGAGGGATGATGTAGATATTCCTAGTGTGACTTGGACTTTTAATTACCACCAAATCGTCTTTGTGATTTAGTAAATCTTAAATCAACATTAGTAAAAACGGCGCTGGATGCGGCCAGATTGAACACTAAAGTTATCCGATAAGACATGTACATAATGTAATATTGCCTCACCTCCTCCGCCTCTGTTACGTAAAGCTTATCTCGACAGTGGCATTACGAGGGCCACTTAATGTCTTGGTTGCATAATAAAATAATCTCACGAGTGTCCTTAACAAAGCTAGACTTTGGGCCGGCTATCAGACCACTCAATCTAGAATAAGACTTATTAATGCCAGATTTTTGGTCCGATTTGGGCTCACTACGGCACGATCTGTTGAATGGTCGTTATGTGAAGTAAATCTCGTGAAGACGAGGACTACACTTGTGTTATAAAGGTCGCATGTCATGAGGAGCATTTCCTGCAGAAATGATTAGGAAATGATATTCATTTAATATTTAATCTAAATTGACACATTTCTGATAGGAACTTCTATCGGGAACACCGTTCCGCCCCAGTCTGAACAGTTTTAAGGCTGTCCCCTACGGAGTGGCAGTGTACCTCCATGGAATAAAAACGGTGCTGATTCCTCCTTTTTATCTTAGCAAGTGAATAATTATTCATCGCTTCCACACTTGAGAACAGCCTTAAAACTCTCTCTCTCTCTCTCTCTCTCTCTCTCTCTCTCTCTCTCTCTCTCACACACACACACACATACGCACACAAACACAAACACACACACACACACACACACACACACAAACATACGCATATGCAATCACGCATACACCAACGTGTGCGTTAAAAATAGTTGTCTGACTCAGTAATATTCCGTTAAAAAACAAAGCAAATCAATATCGACAATTATTTATCTATTAGATAACTCAGCAAGCGAGGCCTTCTGATTGTCACCTTGGTGACAGCAAAATCAGCAAGACAATACATTTGAAATATATTTTGTGTGTGTTTGTGCGTGTTCCTTTTCAAAGCCACACAGTAGTGCAATACCGTGATATACTGAGGTACATTATACAGAAACATATTTCTGCAGAAATGTAAAGATAATTCAATTTCCCAAAATTTACCAAAATAGTTAAGAATTGAACCAAATAACTTTTTCTCGTCCGAGAAAGTTTGGATGTTGGGCCTTGCCTTACTATATTAGATTATTCTAATGATAAAACCTATATGTGCAACACTTCCACACATTAAACATGTTCTCTCGTCTGTTGACATGGCCATGTAATATACCGTTTGTGTGTGTAGAAATAGAAGTAAAAATAACACCAACTACCCAAATTTTACGTAATCTCGCAAACGTGTTAAACGAAATTTAATCCAAGTAAATCCGAGCCTACTAACTTGTATCCTAAATAGACTTCGATACGCTGTCAAATTCATTCAATCGAGACAAAAACCCTGAATGGATACAACGCATCGGTTGTTGATGTTTGTGTTACATTCACCGCTATATTTCACCTGGTAATTAGAATTCCTGAAAAGCGACTCTGTTTGGGCACACTTCCTGACGTTGTGCGTTGTACAAATATCTTTCAGTCACAACTTTTCGCACAAATGATATTGGACTGTTACATGATATTTTACTTTCTGATTTTCACGCCGGGGCGCTCGCCCGTGCCTTAATTACATACCTTGATGCGTTCAATGAGATCAAACATCAGATATGGTTTTCAATCACGCTCTGGTCGATCATTTTGATGCACTTGTGATACGCTGCGTTTTGATGTTACGATAATCAATGTAAATGTAACCTGTTTTAATTTTTAATTCAATTTGAAATATATATAAGAGAGTCTATAACATGAAATGATTTGTTTTCAGATAGAAACGATTGTAAAGCGCAATTTTTGGCGGTTGTAAAATATGACAGACAGTTCTGCTTAAGCGAATAATTCTTCTCAGTTTTTTTTTTTTAACAGAAGTAAGAGCCATCAGTCTACACGAAATAGATAAGAGGTCCAAATCAGACTCGATGATTTCCAAAAAAAAAAAAAAAAAAAAAAAAAAAAACTCTCCTTACTGTCTTAATACCAAACATCATCAAAACTACACAGATTTCTCTTCCTTTGACTTAAAAAAATAATATTTTATTATTTCTTTCTTACCTTACATCTGGCTTATTCCTCACATCCAACAATGTCAGTCAATTATTCTTGGTCGAATGTTCAGAAAACTCGCTCTGTTCTTGCCCTCAGGCGCCAGCCTCGCTCCGGCTGAAATCAGATTACATTGTTAGTATTGAATCACTCCCCACAGGCTGAAGTCACGAAGCTGATCAATTTTATCGAATAATGATTGATTAATTATGTGTCATTGCGCGAGAGAACTGATTAAATCGGGTCAGTTGCGCGAGACTGCCCTTTGGCTATCTCGCTCTAACAGGGAGGTTCGGACCACAGTCTAGGTTCTCCTATCGCACATCTGTGAGCCCGAGGCTTCGTGAAAAGAATTCTTTGTGAAAATTAAGACATCAGAAAATTGGACTCTGAGGAAATATAATTTTCAACATGACTGATGACATAAGAATATATCAATTATACGCTGAGGTAACCGTTAAATAAAGGCGAAGGGGAATAGGAGTGGACGGACGACTGTGTATAAATAAATAAATAAATGGACGGATAGATAGATAGATAGATAGATAGATACAGTAGATCTTTTAACGTAGAAGTCGCAAATATGCTATCAAAATTTTCAACACGTTTTTAAAAAGACCCAAAAAAATACTAAATTGTCTAGAAAATTGGGCGCTTAAAAAAAAGAATCATCCTGCCGGCGGCAATAGTCCTAATCACACATAAACTTGAGTTAAACTAGTTTTTCATTGTTATAAAAAAGGTCATAAACTTCAGGATATGTGATCCATAAAGAAGATCCTTATGTCTGCATGACCTTAACAAGGGTAGGGAAATACGGGTGCGTGAATAATGGTAGTCATAAAAAGTAATTCGCAAACATTCTTTTTCAGGACAGGTTTAATGCGTCAACGTGGAGTGTTCTTCTATAAGTTATCTATATGGGACGGGACTGGGGTAGCGGGATATAGTGATTTTTATACTTGTTCTAGTATTTATGAATTTATATCTTTGATTTTAAAGTTGTTTATGATGATAACAAAGTGAACATCTCCACGTCTAAAGCAGTCCTTTGAAACCAGCGCTGATTATGAACTCCTGAGTCTCCACAATGAATTGTGTCGAATATCAATCGGTCGAAGATTACTGCTTGTTATGATGCTAACCAAGGTCAATGTAGGCAAAAATATTTGCCCTTCAAACTAAAACCATCTTTAAATACGCGCTTTCTCCGGTACAAGTACATGTACTTGACCAATACCCAAATTACAAAGATTTACTACCGTAAATTAAATTCACCCGTCTATGTCTGTCCTTCACATATATATTAACAATAGAAATTTTAATCAAGTAGGCTACCGAAGAGGAAGACGGGTGTGGGAAGCACACTGAAGCAGGGGTTACTGCTCGTTCAGCCATTTAAGGCAGGCCCGCTGGACGTCGAGAGAAGAATACGAGGTCGAGGTGTCGATTCTCTTCGAGGGTACGCCCAATGCGCGCCGAACACACGGTGTGGAAAAAAGAGGGTCGCGTTATTTAATTGGGAGGTTGGAACCTTCTCTGGTCGGTGTGAGAAGAATGAAGTAAATTTTTGCCTTTAATTTCACGTGGAGGTAAACAACCTAGACCGCCGTGTTGATCTAACGCCAGTGGCTAACAAACTTCTAGCTGGCCGCGCGTCATTGGAGGTGAAAGATCAAAATACAATAGGCTGCAACGCAGAGGAAACGCAAACTTGATACGTAATGAAGTAGCCCTTTATATGTTATCATAACCGTGACAACTTTCGTGTGATCAACCATGCAAATGATCATCAAAACAAAACGAGGCTAGCTAATAGTTTTCTGAATATAAGGGTGCATCAAGTGGTCTCATATGAATAACATTTAAAAAACAATCTCCGAGAAGTTAAAGAATTTGAAAATTGCACAGATTGACTGATCAACGCTTTAGAAATTAATTAGTTTTATTAATACTTGTGAAAATAGCCAGAAGATTAAAGCTCGTGCTGGTTTTTCGTCATAGAAAGCCCAAGAGCAGAGAAGGCACATATAATTCAATAATATAATGAAGCGGTTCTAAGGTCATATACCCCTACCGTGCCAACTCTTCCAAAACCTGGTCAAATTGAATTATGATTTAACTGCACTGTACACTACATATAGACTTCCAGACAAAATCTCCTGCCAGAGATATCAAATGACAAAAATTCTATATATATAAGGTCAGGTAACGTGGCAAAATGTCAAGCTATGCAAAGAGACAAAGTCACAGGGCAAAGGTAACTCTGTCGAACGAAAGGGACAATTTATTTCCACACCACTTGGCACCTTGTGACTTTTTCCCGCGGATATGGATATTTATTTATTTATGGGAAAGTCAAAAGCTTCTTGGGCAAGCCTTCCTCTCTATTCTCTTTACCCTTTCTGCCAATTTCCTCCCTAAGAGCGCAAATCTTTCGTGAATATCGTCAACAATGGGTGTGGATTGTGATGTTGATTTTCTAATCCAAGGTACACTTAACCTTTAGTGATCTGGTCTCTATACAGTACATACAGTTTGTTACTGGCTCGGACTTTCGGGCTCAAGACGCGGATTTTGAGTTCTTATTTCTAAATAGTCAGACATTCGCAGTGATGCCACAGTGACTTTGTCTGTCTGAACTCTCTGATTAAGACACCAGAGTCATATATCATCGAAGAATGGACTATTTACAGGTATTTTTGTTGACAGACATTCCTTATTTCTGTCCCAAAATACTTTTACATAGCGTTCAACGTTATTCCTGCTTCAAAACAAAAACAAGGGACAGATTGAGAGATTGCTCCAACCGCATATTTACTACAACTTATGGCGTTTATTGCGAAGGCGGTGTACCGCAAGAGAGAAATGTCCAATCGCTAAAAAAATTAGAAAAATAAACACAAGTGATTCAACTTAAATTTTCACTGTTGACAAGAAAAAGTTAGCAAATAGTCCTAGTCAATATCGTCTCGACAGGGGTAAATACGAACAGAATCAGTCTTATTCAATTAGTTTATGGTATATTTTTCTAGCCGTGGCGTGTGATTGACGTCGGTCTTTTCTTCTTTTCTTCGGAAGTCATGAAAACAGGTACTATTTTATTTGTAACAAAATATGACAGCGATTTAAAGGGCACGGCGACCATGTTATTTTGACTACAAAAACACAGAAGGGTCACAGAGTTTAAGATTACATTTTTAACAGTTTAACACACAGAAAGCTTAGCTAGTCGACTCAAAAACATGAACATGTAAGACGTAGTGGGACACAGTGGAAGTGCTTCCCACGATTTTATTATCGCGACGTCATCTGGACGGCTTGTTGGTGCATTTTTTGAAAAAACAAAAAATGCGTTTCAGTTATTTCAAAAGTTGATCAGAATCCGTCGTCTTTTTTTAATTAGAGAGACTTTTTATTTAAACATATTTCTGTTTTTGATTTTCACTAACAGAATAACAAAAGCATAAAAAACACCATGGTATACTATGCTGTTAATTAATTATATCTACTTCTTGATCTCTCCAAAGATTCAATAATATTTTTAAATAAGACCCACATACGTCTTGAGACCTTTAAATACAAAGATTTGCAATCACAAAGGCCTCCTGCAAACGCATATTTTCATAAAGTAAGTCTAAATATAAAACTGACATTCCAACCATGCATTGTGGAAAGAAATAACCAAACATGGTTAGGGAGGGGGGTAATTTTAATGGAAAAATGAGGGACTTCCCACATCTTTCACACATGAAAAGCGAGGCAAGACTCTTCAACCTATTGATAGGTCGGTCGACAAATGACAGACGACTTCACGAATGGATTCTTTCATTAAAAATCCTTTCATTAATCGCATCTACTCTTGTCCGGACGACATCAATACACAAGTCAGGGTGAGGGTTGAAACTGATCCCGTCTGAGGTGAAAGAATGCAAAAAAGGAAATAAATACCAAGCTACGCTCAGGTGTGGGTTTTATATCCAAGCTGTGAAAGATGAAAGCTTGCAGGAAATCTAATACCGACCATTATATAATAGCGCCGCAGTGTTAAATGAATCGCGACCGGCTGCAGTCGTGTGATCGCCATGTTGTATACATGTATCCAATGGGTGTAAGGGTAATTTAATTCAATTTCATTTATTTTCATACTTTGATGCTAATATAGGTCAGTTAAATAACTGACGACAATCTAACTAACTGACTGACTGACTGACTATCAAACTGAATGCCAAGATGACTGCTACACTAACCGACTAATATTGCCAAACTGACCGTTTGACTATCTGACAGTTGAATAGCTGACTCTCTGCCCAATTGACTTATTGACTGAAACTGCCTTCCTATCTGTCTCATTCTCTGATTGACTAACAAAGTGTCTGACTGCAACTAAATACGTTTACCGAAATTTAATGAGAATCTTTCTTTATCTTGTCTAAAACCAGACTTAAGTATTCACAGATATCGATGTGGTGAACTGTGAATCCTATCTTGTACATACAAATTTCGGTAATCTCTGAAAAGAATTTCCTTTCAATGACATAAATAGTATCACTGGCATCCTCAATGCAGCCTTATAAAACTGCCACTTCAATGTCGTGAGTGATATCAAAGTCAATTTTCGGTCGAAGTCTAATAAGAATTTGATTTCAAGGTCAAGAATGCACTCCCGCTTTGTATTCAAAGCAACCTAATAAAGCGTCCTTATAAACCGGCAAATCCTATCAATTTTAGCTTACAATCCCATCTTTCAGTAACCCTCTCTTACAATTTTGTCAATCCTATAGAGTTTAGAATTCAATTCAATATAATTAAATCCCTCTTTTTAAACCTTCCACGTCGCTTTCTGTTCTTCAGCCCACTCAGGAATACGGACGCCAAAACTGTTTTCTTTCTAATCAATCTAAGAAAATCACTTCGTGTTTTGGTCTGTAAAGAAACTATTCAAACGTCGGATAATATCTACATTTTTGACTTTGTAAAAAAAATTCTGTTATGTTTTTACTCTATGGGACAGGACTCTGTTACAGGGAGATCGTGACCGCTTGGAGATAAAATTTTTTCCCTCTCTCACCCCTTTTATATTGACAATATTTGATATCCAACATCAAATCCAGACACCAGTGTTAATTGACTTTAGATATTAGAATCACTTCTTTTGTCTCATATTGGTGGTAGTAGACCAAAGTTCATTTTCCAAACGCACGCAAACCCGGTGTAACAAATAAACTGCTTTTTACTGTATGTCCACAAACCCATAACTATGTGTTCCTCATGCTTTGATCTCGAAAATCCGACTGACAAAAGATAAAAAAGATGAATTGATCGAGATAAAGAAAAAAATCTAAAATCATAAAATGCAAATGTATTCCAACACGAACCTTATCGAGTCATTTTTTAAAAAACTCGAATTCCAAACGTGTATAGTGGAAATAAAAAACAAACATGGGGGGTAACTTTAAACGTAAAGAATGCGAAACTTTCGAAACGTACAAACATGTATTAAAACAATCTATATAACGCCACCAACACGATCGCCTACATTCCATGCGGGCTATCGCACAATAAATCGAACAATGTCCGTAAATATTACAACTGCTTGTAAACAGTTCGATATTGAGCTGCACACGCTCGGCAAACTGCAAAATTCATGACAACTTTTATCGTCGAAAAAATTCGACTGAATGCGCAATGAATGGACATTCAAACTTAATCTTCGATCTCTCTTTAAAGACGCTTCCACGAGCACCGATAAAACGCAGGTGTAGTCGGCGTCCGCCAACAGTACCAAAATACGTATTATTTTTTCGCTCTATTAATGTTTGACTTATCGCGTAACCTTGCCTATTATGACAGACTGGATGTTGACAGAGCTCGGTGCCTCGCGTTTAGATCTTCTGATCTTACGGTGTCAAGTGTCTAATTGAAAAATACATCTGGGATATCTGATATTGGGACCTTTGACTTTGTACGTGACTTACAACATAAACCCGCGTACAAATCACTATCAACGCCGTGGCTTTTAACGACAACAACAAAAAATAATATAAAAAGAGAGAACAGATATATTTTTTTTTATAAAAGAGGAATGCATTTTGAATCTTTAAGTCAACTGTGTCAGACGCATTAGTTCAATCTTTTAGGCCTAACTGATGTCAAAATTTGCATGCACGAATGACTTGATACACAAATAACACCCTTTTGAAATAAAAGCAAGGTACAAGTGTACTCGGCTTCAAATAAATCTAGTCTGTGCTATAATACTTTAATAGTTATTAATTCCAGATTAAATATTAATTCCAACAGCACATGTCTTAAAATAAACGGAGTGATTGCGAAATACCATTTCATTTGTCATTAGGAGATATACTGATGCCCAATAAGTTAGGGTATATGTGTGTGTATTTTCGTAAATGTCACGGCGGTTGATATAAAAAATCTTTTGCAAACTGTTTCTGAGTCAAAATGTTCTAAGTTTGAGAGAAAGAGAGAGAGAGAGAGAGAGAGAGAGAGAATCATAAATATTGGATCATATAGGTTGTAGTTTCAAAGTGTATTCCAGCAAATGTCAAAGCTGTCAAGAGATTGATGACAATGTTTTATTCGTCAAAATAAATTTGTATATCCATATCACAAGGAGAGAACACGGATAGTGCACGTGTGAGAGAAGAGACCTTCTAGGTGTGTGTGTGTGTGTGTGTGTGTGTGTGTGTGTGTTTGAGAGAGAGAGAGAGAGAGAGAGAGAGAGAGAGAGAGAGAGAGAGAGAGAGAGAGGGAGGGAGGGTGGAGGAGGACAGACACTTATACTGCTCGTAAGTAAAAATGTGGCAATCAAAATATAAATATCAATATCACACATGTTCATATGGAATTCAGTGGTAGGAGAAAAGATGACAGATCGAACAGATACACGCGTGTAATATATACCAGCTTTCTAAATAAGACGCCATTGACTGCAGTATTAACAGAAAACCCTCTCCTAAGACCACCACCCACTTCGCCCAAGCATGCTTGAAAAGCCATATCTCATATTCCGATATGTAAACTATATATTCATTCTACAGTCCCTGATCCCTGAACATAATGACGGTATTCCAGCCGTCACTGTTCCCTGTGTGTACTGTAATATGAGGCCTTCTTTCACGCGTCAGAAAGGACAAACAATGAAATCTTCTCAACATTCTGAAGACCTCTCGTCCGTTTTTTTTCCACATTTAAAGCTAGTATACTCATTTATAAGTAGATATCGACTTCAGTATTCAGTAATCATGAATGTGAGTTTGGGGCTTTTTTTAAATATATATCTTGGGTCGCACTGATCTTTAAAAAACATTGTGAGGGCCTCTCGTTCATAGATTAATATAATATACTTATCTTAAGTAGATATCGACATTTATTTATGTGAGTTGTGTTGTATTATTTTCATTTTTTTAATATTTTACATAAATGTCTTGGTTAGTCATGTTCTTTAAAAATCTGAAAAAAAAAGCATTTAAGAATGAAGTAAAGTTTGAATTGGTGGGATAGAGAGAGAGGTTTGTAAAAAATGGTATTTCGATATTCATTTTTAATCATCTGTTTATATGTTGTTTCAGTATGCCATATATTAATGTTAAATGGCAAAATATTCAATGGCTCAAAACCATGTACAAGCACGAGCAACCAATTTTATACAGACCACGCGCTATAAGCAGACCGAACACTACAGAGATAGAGATACGGTATTCCGTGCGTGGGTCAACTTAATTTGGTCTGATGATTCCGGACATAAATCACAACGCAGATATTTTTTTTTCTGTAATGGAATGGACATTAAGTGCCAAATGACCAGGTCAATCTTTTTTAAGAATTTCTTTTAAGAAGATAATAATAATAGCTTGAAGAAGCTGGCTGAGATTGCTCTGATAAGTTTTTTTATTAGTGAATACATTGTAGTCATTTTTTAAATATTTCATTTTAGTCCGTGTTGTCTTTTATTTTGCAGATATTTTCAAATCATTTATTTTTTTTTTTTTTTGGTATATATAATTATTAAAGACATAAATTTAGCAAAGGCTTTACTTTAATACTACTTACAGGGAGTCTAATAAAATAATTTTTTTCTTTTAATTTCTTAGATATTTGTTAGATATTTCATTTGTTTGTCCCTGCATTTTAACGGATACACGAAGCATGGCAGCATTCGTTTATACTGTTACCCTCACCCATAAGATGTATTTGAAGAAGATATTAATCTTTACCAGAATCCTTTGATTTTTATATCACAATTTCCTATATTCATTTGTGAAAGAGAAGATTGTTAAAGCGTTTACGGTACACAGCAAAGGACCAGAAATGCATCATCGCGTGTCATGAGGTGCTGCTCGCAGAAAACAAGTCAAAGCGTGGCAAGCCATAATAGGATCCGGACGCTAAGTGTTTTCTTGCCCGGTCAAAATATGAAAAATAAATAGGGATGGGCTACGTGAACTCGTAACCCGTATGAGCATTAGCATTGTCAGGACTTCCAATTACACTTTTCTGAGTCGACGACATGACATACCGGTGACAGTAAAATTAGAAACTAGGAAATGCCGCGTATGTCCTACTGCGACCTCTGTGGTGCATTATTATTACCAACATTTTTTAAAGTTGATTCACTTTGCTGACTTTTTTCTGTGTTACATTAAATTTCATTATCATTGCGTTTTAACTGTGAAAAGATAGGCTTTGGTGCGTCTTTTCTCCTGAAGATACTGCAGGACGCGTGAATATGGCCTGCACAGTACGTGGTATTGAGTGTACTAGCATATATTGCACAGTCTCAAGCAAATGTGGGGGGTAGAAGAGGCAAACTGGAAGTACTCTTATAGGAAAATATGGAAGAAAAGCACCCTCGTCCTTCCTCCCTGCTTTCGCGTATTCGTCAATTCTCCCACCATGTCTTTTTTTAATCTGTTATCTGTTATCAATTCCCGTCCTACTATCTCCGTATCAATATTGACACGACCTACTAGGGGCCACCCGGAGTATCACGGGGTACCAGAGACTGACTCCCACTGTCAGGATGTCTCTTTAGTTTCCAGTAACGGCAGCTTGTTTCCCGTTAATTCGGGGTGCCCCGTGATAAGACCTCTTTCAGGTGGAGAGAAAAAAAGTCTCAGCCCAGACGAATCCTTGATTTTACCAGAGGGAGGTGTGTGTGTGTGCGTGCGTGTGTGTGCTCGTGCACGAGTGTGTGTTTCTGTGCAACTGTGTGTGCTCGTGCATGTGTGTGTGTGTGTGTGTGTGTGTGTGTGTGTGATTCTGTGTGCGACTTTATGTGTGAGTGTTCGTACACTAATGTGTGCTCACGCGCATATGTGCGTGCAAGCATGTGTGTTTTGAGGGAGGGGGTGAGACATGTGGGAACAAATCATCAGCCTCCATGTACAAAATCACAACGTACAAGTACAATATTGTTAGGAGGAAAATCAAAGAGCTCACGTACATGCCACAAGTGACATAAAACATATACACTTGTGTATCGATACCGCAGTTACATGGTCTTACTAAACAACAGTGCATCTATACTATGTTATGTACACAAATCTAACTGTGCCCTGCTTTATCTATCTTAAGTGTCGATTTTTGTCTCGTGCAACATGTTCGTTTAACAGCGAACACTGATAGGTTAATAAAACGTGTCTATTCGTGAACTATTCAAATTGATACGTCCAAGTCTGGTCGTCGTCCTCTTCTTTTAAACATAGTTTAACTAATGCAAATAGTGTGTGAAAGAATAAAAAGAGCCGCAGGGTGAGAGATATGTTTTGGGGGAGCTGCTCTTAAAGGCTTACAGTACACGCAAACATGTTATTTGTACCGCCTGGATACTCATCTAGACGACGACTAAAAGAAAACTAAAGTAAAAGACTTCTGATGAACTGAGATTTATAAAAGACAGGAAATGACTAACGCTTTACAATTCCTCCCCTCCCCTCCTCCGTCATCAAAAATCTTTGCACTGGACACACTTACCCTAGTGTCAGAAGAGACGAAGAAGAGCTGTAAACTTCCCTTTTCGGTCCGTCGAAATCTTTTTCAGTCCTTGGTGACACGTTGCACGGAGTGAACCAGCTGGTACACAAGGATATCCACAGTCGAAAAAGTCCACAAAATTGCCTGCTACAACGTATCAAAAGTAGTCTAAAGTCGATCCTTTAATAATGTTGTCGTACAAGACGAAAAGCAAGGACATGAAGAGCACTCAAAATAAAGTTAACGAGTCACTGGAGTAAAACCGCATAGAGGTGTTATAAAACTCCTTCGTGTCTCTATAACCTTTGCTGCCGTTCAAATTTGCACCATTGCGTGTTGCCTTGATCAAGATGTTGCGTTACACACAAAATCAGTTCCAAATTTCACAGTCTATCACCGCTTCGCACCCGTCAACGACGCCACCGCTGTCAAAACCAAACTCCACAAAAATAGTCTCTTTTTTTTAATTCTACCACAATCCCGGACGCTTGTCACCAAAGTTTCTCACTTGACTGATGACTTGACGTCGTCTGATGTCACCCTGAACGCTACCGAGAGCTGAAAGGTGCCACTGTGTTTTGTTTACAATACGAGTCAATAGAGCGGGCGCGCGGGGAGAGATTGGGTCGCTTTAATCTGAAAGTAACCGCTGTGTGTATCCCGTTTATTTTAGGACATCTACTCCATATCGCGCTTGTGCATGCGGGTTATTAGAGACAGCGTGGTGATTGTGCGGGTGACAACCATCTGCCACTAGTTCAATTTCACTGTTTTATCCAGTGGGGAACTATTTCTTTCATGCCCTGTCCAGTTCTAAAATTCTCTTGCTGTTTATAGTTCACAAAGCACAACAGGCGATTTTTTCAGCCATTTTATTTAAACTATAATGCCCATCGTAAATAATCTCACCGTTTCTTTAAATATCACTTTTTTCAAACAGGCTTCATGTTAAGCATCCCTACATGATTTTTGCAATATCTGAATAATTCTGATTTGCCTCTTAATTTTACCTGCTTTATGCTATAGTACCCTAAAATATCGTTCGAAAGAAATCAACAATTATTCAAAAAATGATGTAGAACAGTTTTGTCACTTTTTTTATCAAATAGAATGTGTGCGTCACTGACGTAAATCTAATCTTAACTTTTTGTGGAATGACCTGCTATTCACTTACAGTATATATTTATAGTACATGTCCTGTTGGGGTCTGCTAAAGTTGCGATTGCGTTAGCGCAGACAATAAACTGGCATTGTGCTAGCGGTGACATACATAGGCTAAGCGCATGTACTGAATGTTATAGTACAGGCACATAATCTCAAGTTTCACTTCATAGTACATGACTTTTTACGTTGAGTTTACTCATTGCATTATAAATTATTTAGGATTGATTAAAGAGACGTATTGAACAATGACACTGTAGACTGAAGGTGCATATATTCTGATTTTAAATTTAAAAAAAATGGGCGTTGAGCAATTGAGTAACCAGCTTCACATATTTGACAAAACCTTTAATAACTGACTTAAAGTTCAACAACAAATTGAAAGGTATATCGATGATTTCATGTAATAACGGCTCGCTCCAGTTTTGCCCTAGAGTAACATTGTTGTTTTTGCACTTAATAACTTTAAAGACACAGATCCACTAAAACTAATAACATGATCAGACACAGGTCTTATAATAGTAATAACATCGCAAGACACAGGTCCAATAATACTAATCATATCACAAGACACAGGATTAATTTGCATTGTAAGACACGGGTCTAATAATACTTATCATATCACATGATATTTTGTCCCGAAATTATTATGATGAATTATTGGCAGTTTTCACCAAAGTTCATATAAAACTCAGAGATAACTTTCAAAAAAAAAAAAAAAAAAAGATACAGAGGCAGACATCTGTTCTAATACAAGTATCCTGTGTCAAAAACGATTTTGATTGTCGTCCCTTTAATTTTTTTTCTTATCACCTTTAAATTAAATAATCCGCTAACCGGGTTAACCTGTATTGCAAAATTAATCTCCATTGCATATATTAATTAATACTCAGTAGGTTCAATCCTACGGTTTTCATGATTCCATGTTTTCATGGATAGCCCCCGGATCGACCAAAATGCTCATCTTACAGCTTGGACTTCGTTCGCCTCTTTGCGATTTCGTCACGTATGAGCCGCCGTAAAATCTTGCCGCTCGCGGACTTGGGAATCTCATCTACAAACTCTACTCCTCCTCTCAGACGTTTGTATGGCGCAAGTTTACCTAAGAATTGAAAAATAATTTGCAACATGAACGGGTATTGTACATGCTTGCATCTAAGGCACTTACCTTGCTTTGAATCTAATAAAGATGTATTTCTTAAAAGTAATTTTGCTTTGTTACAAGATTGTAATATTTCTTCCGGAGATTTGAAAAAAAATTCACAATAATATTTATGAAGTCATTTTGGAAATTATAAACAAACAAATAAATAAAACAACTATAACTGTATACAAACAAACAAACGCATTGTGTCATTTTTTATATGGTTCATATCTGATTCTCTTATTGGGCTACACTGTATAGGCCCTTAATCATTTCAGTTGTAAAGGCTACTTATTTCCAATGCCAATATAAGCAACAATGCTAGAAACTGAAATGTTCTAAATCTTATTCAGTCCTCATAACTATTTTAGAGTTTACAAAATAAGCAATTTAAGCAGTTGGAGAAATTCTGACCTGCCACGAAATCCGCCACTTCTTTCTTGGTCGCCTTTTTGCCCTCTTTCAAGATCACCATGGCGAACGGAAGTTCCCCTGCTTCTTGATCGGGAATCCCCACCACGGCGGCGTCCAATATGGCCGGATGGGATAACAACACCGCCTCCAGTTCAGCAGGCGGGACCTGTGAAATTACAGATTTTATTTTAGTTATAATGGATAAATTGATCTGATGCGCATGGTGCAAAGAGTAACTTCTGTCTGGTGTATTTTTGTTTTACTTTTACCAGAAGTTTGTCATCTACTAGTACATACCGGGGTATTTGTAAGGATCAATATTCTTAAGCAGTGATTTATTTTACCAAAGAAATACAAATAGTAAGGCTTTGAAAATATTTATTTATGCACCTAAAAAGGTGCTACAAAACGGCTACTTATTTCCAATACACACAGTTAAAATGTGTACCGCATATTTTGGGAATTTTTGAACAATATTAAATAAACACTTCAGAAAATGCAATGCATATGCCCATTCTAAAAATATATATTTCTGCGATGTCTGTCACAAAATAGAGCATGGTTGTACGTTTTCTTACCTGAAAGCCTTTGTACTTTATCAGTTCCTTGAGACGCTCTACAATGTATAACTGATGACCGCTGTCATAGTGACCAATATCGCCTAATTATAGAAATTTGTGTCAACTTTTTAAATCGTCGATGCTGAACAAAATAGGCCTATACACAAAGTAACAAAGCACACAGACAGGGTACTAGTACATGCACTCCGCACACACACACACACACACAGAGAGAGAGAGAGAGAGAGAGAGAGAGAGAAACACACACACACACACACACACACACACAGAGAGAGAGAGAGAGAGAGGGGAGAGAGGGAGGGGGGGAGGGAGAGAGAGAAAAGTAAATTTCCCCGATACAATAACTCACCAGTGTGAAGCCAGCCATCTTTGTCCACAGTGGCTGCAGTGGCCTGGGGGTTGTTCAAGTAGCCCTTCATTACTTGGGGTCCTCTGAACCAGAGCTCGCCATCTTGGTCTTGACCTAATTCTTTGCCTGTCTCAATGTCTACCACCTAACAACGATATTAATAAGTGAATATATTTGCACTGTCGAGAATATAACGGTGTATCTGGGACCCATTTTTCACTGGGCCCATGCAAGGTTAAATACATGTAGGCTACAACTTATGGTGGAGTAAACATAACTGTATATATTGGTACATGTTTACATATGGTTGAAGTACCTTGCATTCTGTATTAGGCATCAACACCCCAGACGCCCCGGGGTGGCGGTCTGTGGGGGGTGAGGCGGACACACAGGGGCTGGTCTCTGTCAACCCGTACCCTGGAAACCGCACAAATATACTCTGAGTCATTTTATAATTCATCTGAAGGTGCGATTTATTCATCAGTTTGGAACTTATTATGAAAACGTTACAAGCAATATATGAATAAATCTAAAATTATGAACAATATTAAAACACTTTGTTCACTTTGTGCATGTTCTTTTTATAAATGTGTGAATTTATTTAATTTTCTATTTTTTAAATTTATTTACCTATTTGTTTCTTCATTAATTTATTAATTTATTATTTATCCATCTTTCAAAAACCTATGTGTAAAGCCTTACCCTGTCCCACCTCTGTATTAAACCTTTTCTTCAGTTCTCTCTCAGTCTCTACCCCCAGAGGTGCGGCCGCACACAGGATGTCCTCCAGACAGCTCAGGTCATAGTTGTCCACTATGGGGTGCTTGGCAAGTAGGAGGGCCATAGGGGGGACGCAGGGCAGCATACGGACCTATACAAGGAAGTATATATTTAAGAGCTCGAGTGTGGTATCTTTTACGCTGAATCTATTAAACTCCTTGGTTGAAGCAAGTCAATTTGTACAGACATATTGGTAAACTGGTGAAAAGGGGCACACGTCTGAGTACACAAGATTATCATTATTCTTAAAGGTCTGACAGGTGTACACCATTAGACCATTAGCAAAAATGTCATACTGGTTGGGCAGAAGTCTTGATAAAGGTCTTCCACGTCGTTTAAGAAATATTAGTTAATGACGAAAGCACCGACGGTAAGGCGAATAAGGACTCCATTGTCCCCACAGTAACAACACATTCCAAAACACATGATTTTCGAAGTTATAAGAAGAGAAAAAAGTAAAGAAAGAAGAAGAAGAATGAGCAACCCCTCATCACAGCTCCCTCTGGCGGACCACGACAAGCCCTACCCTGTATTTCTGTATCGACTCTAAGAAAAGCAGCGGGTTGAACTGACTGATGCAGACGACCTTCTGCTTGTATTTGATTCCACCCAACATGATCACCAGCATCCCAAAACTATGGAAAAACGGCAGGGCGCCCATCAAAGCATCTCCGGGTTTTCCTCTATAAACCAATTCTCTGAAACAGTATATGTATAACCTTAGCTTGGAAATGCCTTCTACAGGTACCGTTTTATTTTTATGTCTACATAAGTGACCTTTATGACCGCGAAAATAAACAAAAAAAATAAAAAAGAAGGGGAAATGAAATAAAACACAAACATGAACACCAGAAGTGGGACGTACCTTTTTGATGACTTACAAAATCATACCAAATCTACTGTACGTTGTACAATGTATACTTTGTCCTCAATGTAAGTCTGGCTAGCATTTTACAACAAAACATACCAAGCAAGTTGTCTTTTACTCTTGACACAGTTAGGAAATGAGACACTGGAACCGCCTGTACCACAATCTACTAACCTCATCTGTATCAGATTACCAACTACATTATAGTGTGTCAGCATCACAGCCTTTGGTAAACCGGTCGTTCCGCTAGAGGACGGCAGGATCGCTACGTCTTCCTTTGGGTTAACCGGGACATATTTTGGGCACATGGACCCATCATCGGCCAAAAGTTCCGAGAATGAACGGCAGCCTGGCGCTTCGCCGAAAACGTACACAGCCTACAAATAAAAAAATAAAATAAAATATACTTCCAACGTATATGAACGTTTGTATTCGTTATTGTGTCACCGTCTGCATACCTGCATACCTGGAATCACCCGTATCTACCCTCTATCCTAACTACCTCAACTGGTCAATTCCCGAGCAGTTAAGCCCGACTATCTGTTATCTATCTGTTTCAATGACCGCTATCTTTATATATATACGATTACGCCGTTTGTATTTTGCCTGTATTTTGGCAGTATATTACACACCTTCAATCCAACCTCACTGGCCGCTTGTTGAGCAATTGGAACTGCGTCTTCAAATGTGATGATGTACTGGGCTGCCGTGTTCTTTAACTGCGGTATCAACTCGTCTGGATTATGGAAGTGAATATTTGCATCAAGGCCCCTAATAAATCTGATAGTTTTCGAACGCAACCAATACATCGACATACATTAGCAATAGTTATTTAACTCTGTAAAAAATCTAATTGAGAGTGAAAAAATATCACCTCAACTATCTGATCAACTTATCCTTGTCGCCCAAAGGTACATATTCCTTTCATTTCTTTATACTCAAGGTTATTATACTTTAACAAATGAGAGAGGACTTCATAACTACATGTACATAAGAAAAATTACTAGCACTCCTACTGTCAAGCACACCATAAGGATAAATTAAGCAGTCTAATTTATTAAATTCAAGTACATTTACCGCAAAGAAAAATTTATTACAACCTGGCCTTTTGCTGTGTGCGTGCACCCTAAAAGAGAAAAGGACCGAAACCAGTGTTATTAAACCTAAGATTAAACCAAGGGCATTCCCCAGACAATACATACCATGTCTGTACATAGGGTTCGCCGTTGTCACAACTCCACCCACGGCTAATACTCCTAGGAACATGAGAGCGAACTCTGGAATGTTCGGACAGTAGATGCAGAAGACGTCCCCCTTGCCAAACCCTAGCCGCGTGAGCGCGCTCGCAACGCGCCTGACGTAAAACCTGACCTCATTAAACGTGTATTCTTTGCCCGTTTCAGCACTCACCTGTAAAGAAGATATTAATTTATCTGGTAATTCATTGCTTCGTAACGTTGTCCTATGGCTGTAGCCAGCAATTTCAGATGGAGGGAGGGGTGTTCGTTTTCTGAATAAGTGGACCTTTCAGTTTTACCAGATCAGATGTTGATATAGGAGGACCAAAAAGGCGTTTAGGTTGATACCTCGGCCAACCCCCTTCCCCCTACTGATCTGTGGTGTGATGTGGTGTGTGCGTGTGTATGTGTATGCGTGTGTGTGACACTGTACGAGTGTGCATGTGTGTGTGTGTGTGTGTGTGTGTGTGTGTGTGCATGTGTGTGTGTGTGTGTGTGTGTGTGTGTGTGTGTGTGTGTGTGTGTGTGTGTGAGAGAGAGAGAGAGAGAGAGAGAGAGAGAGAGAGAGTGTGTGTGTGTGTGTGTGTGTGTGAGTGCTTGTGTGTGCCTGCACATGTGTGAACGTATAATGTATGTGTGTTTTAATTAGAAACAAATTGAAGTACACACCCTTAATAACCAACTGAGACTTACAAGATGCCAGCATAAGAATAAATCATATCGAAATCTAAAGAACTTTTTCCCATATGTTGGCTCCCCTTTTAGTTAATCAACTAATACCCCCTTTACACTGGACGGCGTCCTTTCTGCGTCCTCTCTGCGACCATGAAATTTGACATCGCTGTGGTCTTAATAAGGAGGCACGAGCATTAATTTTGTATCAGAATGAATGCTCAATGATCGGCCAGTTGCCGGCACGTAAAATATTATAATTTTTTTACTCTCAAATGGGGCCGTACTGCTGGACGCAGAAAGGACGCCGTCCAGTGTAAAGGGGGCTTAAGCGACAGAACAATTGACATGCATGCCCTTTTAAATTATTGGATCTCATTTAATAACAAACAAAGACCTTACAAGGTGACAAATACCGCAGTCTATGTAGAAGATATCCGTATATGATGTCAAATGTGATATGTTAACAGCACTGATAACACAGTTTTGTGGTGTCCTGGTCTCAGAAAGCCTCCTTGATCGAGCCGTCGCGAGACAAATTGATTGTAGTTTTAAATCATCTTTAAGGAGTGTTGTCGATACCTTTTTATCTTTACAGTATACAGATATGGTTATATATAATCAATAAATCATTAAATCAGCTTTAGTAAAATACAATTTTGAATAAAAGAATAGTGCGACGATCTAGGCACGGAGCATTCCTGTCGCGTCACACCGATATCAATTCCTAACCTTACACCTAGATAGAACTGAGTTAATAAACCCTAGGTGAACAAAGTTGAATTGGTGGTTTGTGTAACGAAGTTGGTGGAGGGGGGAGCAGGGGGCAATGGTGCACTTCGTCACCCCCTTTTTAACCCCCACCCCCCTCCCCAATGTGCCTTCACGCTTAATTCAAAGCTCTTTAATGAGAATGGAATTAAGCTCTTTAATGATTATGGATGGGACTGCCATTCTGTGAAAAAGTCGGAATCTATACCGTGGGATCCAGGGAGCCGCCTAGGCCAAGGTTATTTTTGGGCGCCCCAAAAGTCGGAAATCCGCCGGTAGTCGTAAAAATCTCACCCCAGAACGACAGGCAAATCAATAGCGTGGACCAACAGGGCTCTTACCTACCAACCAGCTTTTCAACCAAACCCAATATAGAAGTGCATTTCACATGCTACAGTATCAAAAAATAAAACTGAATGAATTTAGAGGTTGTATTCCATTTTTATAAACATACATGTGCATAGAACAAAAATCCACGGCTGTCTCAATTTTACATCTACACTTATATGTATATATATATTATAATATGTAAGGAGCCTAAATGGTAAGGTATGTTTCGGCAATGTTTGTTCTGGGCCATATTATTTCGATTTTATATTGCGTTCCGATACATTTCGTAGGGATTCAGTCATGGTAAATTATATAAGACGTAAGGCTGTTTCATGAATATTTAAACTCTTACTCAAGGGGTTAATACGGAAAAACACTGTCAGGGTTTCATATTGCCCAAGTACTTGACGCAACAGGAAACGGGGTATTTTTGTTGCTGACTGAAAAAAAAAAATATTTTGATTCCAAGACATTTTGAAATTTCTGATATAATATTTGTACCACGAAAGGAAAATAGTTTATTTTATGCTTAATTTACAGTCAGTAGGGTGTATTTCCCCCTTTTATAATATTCAGTGACAAGCAAACTTAAATCGCTCAAAATAAATAAATAAATAAATAAAAAATAAATAAATAAATAAAATAAGTGCTCTATAAGGAAAATTATCATAATTCTTACAACGTTATACTTGTAGGAGATAATGTAAAATTAAGAAACAGTGATGATTGACTTTTCAAAGTGAATAAAACTTTTCCACAGTCGGGCGTTATGCATTTGCGACAGGAACGTATGTTAATTCCGTTTTGGGGTTAGACGATGAATTATATTTGATTTTTATTCATGGTTTCAGGAGAGTGAAACTTTGATACAAACTTCTTCGTGTGGGACTCTATAATAGTCAAACTTAATCTGTAATCTGTTTACTAAATATATGTAAGAGCATGCCTGTGACCTCATTTTAATTTTACACCTCTATATTGGCTTTAGCTGTTTTTAAAACTCATTCACGCGCATTCTGCATGTCGCCTCCTTTGTTTTCTTATTGTGTTGCGTTCTTTCTAGGCCCTGTGTGCTTACTGATACAATGTACCTGTAGATCGAAGGCTTTGATCGAGTGTCGTGTTTTCGACAAGACCTGTGTATCAGAACTCGGTAACCGGAGAAGTTTGTTATGTCGTTCTGTCTGAGACTTCAAGTACTTGAACTCTCAGAATGTGTACATGTGTTACAATGATGATGATAATGATGATGATGATGATGATGATGATGATATGCCTGTGTATGCGTGTGTGTGTGTGGGGGGGGGGGGGGAGGGGAGCGTCAGAAACAGTTCAGACTGTAAATTACGTCTATGCAGCAATCAGTTTACATGTAGGAATGTTTTACAGAACTCTTTTAAAGCCAACTAGTGTCTGTGTGCACCGTAGAATCATAAAAATATTCTGGCAGCCTACAGTAGAAGTCTCTAGCTAATTGTAAGGGCCTAAGATCGGCCTTATTAACACCACACTAAAGTCCACCTCTGTTACATAACTCTATTCAGTATACCCTATACAGTATACCTACCAGTGCAACGTAATCTTCATATTTCCCTCCGATATCCGCAAGCAGGAAGTCTGCCAGAGAAACTTCGGGAATGGCGACGTCGGGGTAGTGGCTTCTTATAACCATTCTGATTACCCGGCAAGCTACATGTACGTGTACAGGCGCAGGGTTCAAGAAATCAGAGCGCCGGAGCAGCACAGCGAGAGAGAGATCAGCAGCGATATCTGCTTCTGTGTGTGCGTAACGTAAATAGAACAGAGAAACTGGGTCAAGCGCACTTAAGGTGTCAAGGTCGAACGGTAATGTGGCAAGTTGGAGAAATGGCGCTGCATGGCAATCAGTCGATTATATTTATCATTCAGTACTTCTATAAGGCTTATGAGCTACCAGTTTGCAGACTGCGTTAATCAAAATTTTGCTGAAAATCGGTTTGATTATTTGCTTGTCACATTGTCAATATGAACAAACAATTTGTGACATGCCCTCTATTTAGTATATGTTACTTTTTCATTTTTACATAAAGTATTCTCTTCTAGATTTATTTACCAGTAGGGACTATTCTGAGATATCGATAAATAAATAAATAAATAATTAAATGGTGTCATGAAACGATAAAGTACTATTTTTGCTTTCTTTATTGGGGATTTATTAAAATAGTACTTCATCACTGTAAAACAGTTTAAAATATACAATTATATTCCCTTAACCTACTAGTATTTCTCTTCGTACTACATATAGCACGATATATAAAAATTGAACCCCCTTTTCTACAAAACGGACAAATGGATTTTGCTTGATTCTACCTGATTTTAGAAATATTCTCCTACTGGTACCTGTAGCGTCCATATGTAGACCCATATGATACACTGAATTATAACTATAGGCAGTGGAACCCCTCATGTGAAGTTGATTTTTTACTATGGTTAAATAATTCATTAGTGGTACAATCATTAAAATTTTGTGAAAAAAATACTGTTAGTAAATGAATAAAAAGTTGGTTTATGACAATTTTCTGTAACATTTTACACATTGCATTAGGGGTGACAATATTATTGTAGTGGATTACAGAGTATATTACAAAAAGATATACCAGTAGGCCTATATATATATATATATATAGCATTTTATTATGGGAATTTATCTGCACCCGATCTGTCTGCGTCAGGATGAGACAATTTAAAGATGTTTCGATTGTCTGCTCTCAATAATACCCGTTCAATTTTGGCACTTTAATGGCCCAATTGTAATGAAGGCCTTTTCGGCTCCATCGCCACTGTCACCCAGCCTAAAGCCAGTAACCGGAAGTGCTTCCTTGTCTGTGACGTCACCGCTATCTTCCCGCCAAGCAATGTCATTCACGTTGCAGTTACATTTTTTGCCTGAAATATGTATGTCAATATTTTGTTTTATATTGATTGAAAAGAAACATGTTTGTGATTAATTATAAAGACATTAATATCTTAACATATTAATGCAAGTTGGAGCATCGTAGATGAAATAATGGAACATTTTTTAACAAATTACGTCAAAAACAAGGTGCAACGGTGCAAGTAACAAAGGATTATCAATTAAGTATATTTATCGTGTTTTGACTGCATTTTTTTCTATCTAGCTAAAGAACTAACAAAGCAAGTTATTTTACAAAAAAAAAAAACAAAACAAAAAAACAAAAAAAAACAAAAAAAAAAACAGGTACAGTTAAAGAGGTATCTCTTCGTATGTGCTCTATATTTCACAAAAAATACATTGTAAACATAATATTCTACCGCAAATGACGACAGTTATAGCAATTATTTTGAAATCTGTGCTTGTCATCGGACCACATGACCTTTATAGATGGCTATACTCTGCAATAATCTTTTAAGAGATTATCTCAAAAAAAGATAACAAAACATGTACTGTACAGGGACTAACTTTAAATGTAGAAATCCAGCTTGTCAAAATTTTAATTTCAAGAGATAGGGAACCATTGGTGTGATTTCTTTCGGAACTTGAAGGTGAGTAGAAAACAGGGATAAATCCAAAAGAAATTCAATTTAACAGGAAGAGTACCTTAACTAAATTGTCCAATTGGCTTATATTAAAATATACAATCTTTTCTCACCCCCGTTGCAACTCTTGGTTTTATAACATTCGCAGCCACCGACTTGCGCATTTCCACCTGGCCAATAAGATTTGACTTCCTGTCCGTCTGCAAACCACCAACTGTATGCTGTATTGCTGTCTTCATTACGAATTAGTGCTCCATGACATTCATATTTTATATGCTGGCTACAGGGACCCGACATCTTCATCAATGCCTTCATCTGCGACCTCGAAATAGCGTAGGATATTTTTACTGTGAAAAAAAAAAGATAATATTTAAGGACGGAAGACAGGTTAAATATATCTTAATCTTGATATTTTCCGACAAAAATCCATGTTAGTAAAAGTAAATACGTCTCAGGTTATGAAGTGAAGCCTGGATTACATTTCCGTAGGGTGCTCGGTATATCCCTTTTCGTGCAGCTTCTGTACGGAGACACGATTTTCGTGAGAACTCTTACAAACGAGTTCAGATTAACGGCCTCTCTAGCCTCTCATATTTTGTAATGCTGAAAAATTGACACATTAAGCCTAATTGTAGAGGATATTGCACACTTCTCGCAAGGGAATTGTTCGGTGGACTTGCCGTGATCGTTATAATGGTTGAATCTCTTTCCCTTTCACCTTTGGTTGGCTTAGGAAGCACAACGACGGGAAAGTTGTTTAAAATTTAGTGTAGTTCACTTGCATTAATTTTGAATTACAATGTATGCTTTTCCTTATTCTCACCAAATAAATGAAAAAAAAAATGGTATGGGGTTGTACAGACAATATATCCATCTCCTATGAAGCCGTGCGGAAACTGGGCGGCAACTGCGCTGAGACTGAAATGGCTCCGTGTAAAAAAAAAAAAAATCCCGATGTGACCTCAACGTCATGTCGGAAAAATGGCACGCACCTGTACATAATGTAAACGTAATTGCCAAGCCTGTAGATTCTATCGGTGTCAAAAAATAAAAATAATAATAATAATAAAATAAATAAAAAAATAAATAAATAAATGAATTCGCGTGCGGCGCCTGTGGCAATTGTAATTCAGGCTCCATAATGACTCAGTTATTACTTAGCGAATTTATTGTGAGGCACAGGTAAGTGTAGTCATAAAAGATAACCGTGCTTAAAGCTAAGTAGAAAAAAATAACCAAAATTTAATAAATTAAACGAATTTCAATTTCTTAAAAGAAATAAAATATATAACAAACTTACAGTGATATTTGCCTGGTTCTTCAAACCCATTGATCAGCGTTCTATCCTCTTGGTCGTGATGAAACATGGCGATAGGTGGCGACACCGTCATGTCACACCACACTTGGAATTCTGGGACACCGCGGAGGCCGTCTGGGTCAACTATGTAATGGCGACTGGTGAGAAAACCGTCAGCCAGCCAGTCTGAGCAGGAACGGCGAGCTGAAAGAGTAAATGATAAATAAATGAAATAAATAAACAAATATATAAATTATTTGATTTCAAATACGGTATCGTAAAACGGTATTTATTTATTAATTATAAAAATAGAACAGATAATTCAATAGTCATGAAATTCTTAGAATATCAGATCTCTACCTAAACGTTCCAGACTAAAAAATGATAAACGCGCTGTTCACACTAAGGCGGCGGTGATACTCAGAATACGGTAGTATGAACGAATAAACTGAGAAACTTACACTGCATTAATTTCCCCCCAAAGAGTCGTCGCAGTTGAAACTCCAAGACGGCAACTCGTTTCTCGAGGTTTGTGCTGCCTTCTGGAACTTCGTCCTCACAATCGGCAGAGCTCCCATGCAGGGCAAGGAGTGATGCGGCAAACAGGATAGCTAATGCACCAGCCATGGCTTAAGCGAAAAATAAACGGTAAAATGAATTAGATGTTAAATGGTTTAAATATACAAGTGCTGGTAAACACGCACGCCCCAGTTAATACATGTACATGCACGTGTTCGCTTATATACAAACATATTTAGGAGGGATTCAATCTGAAACTCTGCTTTTGCTTATGATTTCATTTACTTCATTAGAGAAAAAATATCTAAAACGCACGTTATCGTCAGATTCCCACGACTTTCAATGAACATCTTTGTCTCGATCTTTACTTAGAAATTTAACAAAAACAAAACAAACATCATTTAATTTTTAAAAGAATATCGTTGCTCACCTCCAAAGCGTTCAATATACGTCAAGCGAAACAGCGTTACGTCTAAGCAATGTTGCTTAAAGGGGGAAGAAGCTGAAGGCGAACCGCTCCCACGAAAAGTTCTGTTGAACTGTCGCTGATCCAAGTAAAGTATATCATATATACGCTGCCCTATGTCGAAATCATACACTGAACACGGTATTGTAACAGGATGCTCCACAAATCTGGTCCATGTTTGTTTGAGTGAGATAAAACCCTTCCTTTTACCATTGGCTTCGCATAGGTCACATGTACAGTGCTGCGTGACGGATATATAATATGTAACAGACTACAATCACAGAGATTTAGCATCCTTTTCAAGCACATACGGAGTATAATTATCTCAGTATCAGTACAGTACAGGCAGTTGTTGATTTGTGAAAAATGTCAATGTGTCCTCTGTGTCTAACCACATAGACAAAACGCATATTTTTTATTTTTAAAAATGAACAATACTCTACGAATTGAATTGGTTTTGATTTCCGCCGTTTTGTGAGTCACATTTTGATGCATACTTGGTACTAGAAACACTATGAATTCAAGTATAGGGTAGTACTCGTACTAATAGGTTTTCTGTAACAAAAGGTACATATACTGGACATATACACAGTATACAGTACACTTTAGTAACATTTTATTACGAAAATTTATTTGAACTCTGCAGACCGTAGGATAAGGCTTTGTTCACAGCAAAAATTGATATTTTTCTGCACACAGCAATTCTGTATCAATTTTGGCACTTCAAAGGTCCAATAATTATGTAGAAAACAGGGTTTTCTGTTGCTGACTGAAAAAAATATATTGTGATTCCATGAGAGTTTGAAATTTCTCATATAATCTTTGGACCACGAATGGAAAATAGTTAATTTAATGCTTGTTTTACTGTCAGTAGGGTGTTTTTCCCCCTTTTATAATATTCAGTGGCAAGCAAACAAAGCTAGGTCGCTCAAATTAATGTGTTCTATGCAGAAGATAAATTTTAACAATGTTATACTTGTAGGAGGTAAAATACAAACCCAGTGATGATTGAATTTTCAAAGTGAGTTCTTGTTGTCTTCCGTTTTTTTCTAGGCTTATTATGGCAACTGAAACAATGTAGATCGAGGCGTATTGGGTGCTGCTGCTGAAAATCACTTTGGTTTATTTGCTTGTATGTCATATTGCCAATATGAACAAACAATGTGTAACGAAGTATTTATAAGACCTTATATTTATATTTTCTTATTATTTTTCATTGAAGATTAAATTATCTTCTAAAATAATTTACCAGTGGATACTATGCTGACATTTCGATAAATAAGTAAAAAATGAATAAATAAATAAATAAATTTAAAGTGTCATAAAACAAAACAGTACTATTTTTGCTTTTCTTATTGAGGATTTATTAAAATAGTATTCCATCCCTGTAAAATAGTTCAAAACGTATATTCCTGACTAATATTACTTAATTAAACATGACTTTAATAAAATCCGATTACTTGACAAAACGGACAAGTCGGTTGTATTTGATTCTACCTGGATTTAGAAAATCCTCCTAGACCTATGATATACTGAGTAATATAACTATCCGTGTACAATGGGAACCCTAAAGTGTGACTTCGTTTTTTACTACTAGTATGGTTAGCACATTCATTACTTGTACAATCAGCAAAAATTCTGCAACAATTCCCTCAAGCACTTGAATAAAACATTGGTTATCATGATTGTCTGCATCATTTTACTCAATACATTAGAAGTGACAGTTTTTTGCAGTAATGGAGGGTAGGTTATATCGCAAAAGGGGTTATATATCAAAGTATGTAATTTTATTACTTGAATTTATCTGCACTCAAGCTGCCAGCGTAAGGATTAGACACAGATGGTTCTTTTGTCTGCACATTGTTTCAATTTTGGCACTTTAATGGCCCGATAGTTATGTACGCCTTTTCGGTACCACCGCCACTATCACCCAGCCTAAAGCCAGTAACCGGAAGTGCTTCCTTGTCTGTGACGTCACCGCTATCTTCCCGCCAAGCATTGTCGTTCACGTTGCAGTTACACTTTTTGCCTGAAATATAATATCAGGTAAATGTAGAATACTGAATAAAAAAAATTCTTTGCGTCATATTGAAAGTACTTTAATTTTTTTTACATCATTATAAGTTGGCCTATCCTAGATGGGAAACAAAATATAACTTTTATAAACGTAACTATCTTTATACAACGGAAAAAAATAATAAGTAGGAGAGACTAATAACTTAAAAACTTATCGTATTTGCACTGCAGATCGTCCATCTAACTAAGGAACTAACCAATCAATGAATTCAGATAATATACTAGATAACAACTGCTTGTACATTGTACATTTTCATTGTGTATTATGGAGAATTTTTGTAACTATGTAATGGATTCAACTCATTTTACGTTTATGATTTAATGGATGGAATCAAAGAAGAAAATTCACGAAACAAATATATAGGTTTTATAAACATCTAAAAATATTAAATATATGATACATAATATATGTAGCCATGATTTCAGCTTATTAAAAATCATATCTCACCTCCACTGCAACTCTTTGTTTTATAACACGCGCAGCCACCGACTTGCGCATTTCCACCTGGCCAATAGGATTTGACTTCCTGTCCGTCTGCAAACCACCAACTGTATGCTGTATTGCTGTCTTCATTACGAATTAGTGCTCCATGACATTCATATTTTACATGCTGGCTACAGGGTCCCGACATCTTCATCAGTGCCTTCATCTGCTGCCTCGAAATAGCGTAGGATACTTTTACTGTGAAAAAAAAAGATAATATAAGGAGGGAGGACAGCTTAAATATATCTTAATCTTGATATTTTCCCACAAAAATCCATGTAAGTAAAAGTAAATACGTCTTATGGTATTAAGTGAAGCCTGGATTGCATTTGCCATGCAAAGTCCGTAGGGTGCTTGTTTAAGGTATGTCCTACTATATTTCGTGCAGCTTCTGTACGGAGACAAACGATGGTCGTGATAACTCTTATAAAAATGTTCAGATTAACGGCCTCTCCTATTTTGTAATGCCAAAACTTTTTGACAATTTTTTTTTTAATTCAGCCCGTAGGCATAATTGTAGACAATATTGAACATTACCCGCACGGGCATTGTTCGGTGGCCATGCCGTGATCGTGATAATGGTTGAATCTGTTGGCCTCTTTCCCTTTCACCTTTTGTGGGTTTAGAAAGCATAACGATATGAAAGTTGTTTAAAATTTAGTGTAGTTCACTTGCATGAAATTTGAATTACAGAGTATGCCTTTCTTTATTCTCACCACATGAATGAAAAAAATTGTATGGGCTGTACAGACAATATATCGATCTTTTATGAAGCCGCACGGAAACTGTGCGGCAACTGCGCTGAGACTGAAATGGCTCCGTGTGAAAAAAAAGATTTTCCCAATGTGACCTCAATTTCATTTTGGAGAAATGGCACGCACCTGTCCATAATGTAAACGTGTTCGCCAAAGCCCATAGCTTCTAACGATGTCCAAAATACTACTACTACTACTACTACTACTACTACTACTACTAATAATAATAATAATAATAATCACACGGAATTCGATCGTACGCGTGCGGCGCCTGTGGCAAATGTAATTCAGGCTCTGCCAATGCAACTCAAAAGAGGAGCAGAATGGAGTAACGGCACCATTATGACTCTATAATTATCAGATAGCGAGTTTATTATGAGGCACAAGTAAATGTGGCCGAAAGAGGTAACCGTGCTTAATGCTTAGTAGAAAAAAAATAATCAAAATGAAATAAATTGAACGAATCAAAAAATAAAATATATTAAACAAACTTACGGTGATATTTGCCTGGCTCTTCAAACCCGTTGATCAGCGTTCTATCCTCTTGGTCGTGATGAAACACCGCGATAGGTGGCGACACCGCCATGTCACACCACACTTGGAAATCAGGGACACCGCGGAGGCCGTCTGGGTCAACTATGTAATTGCGACTGGTGAGAAAACCATCAGCCAGCCAGTCAGAGCAAGAACGGCGAGCTGAAAAAGGAAGAAAGTGATAAATAAATGGAATAAATAAATAAATTAATAAATTATTTGATTTCAAATAAGGTACCAGTATAATCGAGTTTATTTATTAACGATAAACATAGAACAAATAATTCAATAGTCATGAAATTCTAAGAAAAGCAGATCCCTACCGAAAGGTTACTGCCATTTAAAAAACGGTGAACCAATTGTATACACAAAGGCGGCGGTGATACCCACAGGCACCATTCAGATCGAGACGAGCCGAAGTCTAGCTAGGCCGCGACCTAAATATGATGGACCTACAAGAAAGAAAGATCGCTTAATTCTGTAAAAGTCTCTCCGCCTCTCACACACCTCCCCACGAGTGATCCCTCGACCGTTTGAATTGAGCCGAGGTTTAATTACTGTGCCCCTGCAGGGACGACGCGTGGGGGGCGTGTGAGAGGCGGAGAGACCACTACATTATAAAGCGGTCTTTCTTTCTTGTAGGTCCACCATATTTAGGTCGCGGCCTTGCTGGACCCCGGCTCTTCTCATTCTGAATGGTCCCATCGGGACCATTCCATAATCTATCGTGCTAACTTTGGAGCGATCTATCTCCAAGGGGATTCTCACTAAATTGTTATCAACTTAAGCGACTTAAATGTCTGTCTCTCATAGGGACCATTCCTAGAGCCTACTGTCACGCCTACTGCCGGAGGCCGATGTGCACGGAAGTTAATGACCCCGTAGCTGATTTCAAAGTCATTACAGACATTTAAGCCGCTTACGTTGATAGCAATTTAGCTTGAATCCCCATGGAGTTAGTTTGATCCTGTTAGATCGATCTAGGCATGGGAACCCATTCATAAGCTACTAGTTTGAAGGTATGATCTGAAGAACCTACATTGCATGGCGTTCCCTCCAAGAAGTTGTCGAAATTGGAACTCCAAGATGGCAACTCGTTTCTCGAGTTTTGTGTTGTTTTGGCCACCAACTTCGCTCCCATACAGCGCAAGGAGTGATGCGGCAAACAGGATGGCTAATGCACCAGCCATGGCTTAAGTGAAAAAAAAAAAAAAACACGTTTGCTTGTATACAAGCATATTTTAAGAGGGATTTAATCTGAAAAAATCCGTTTTTGCCTATGATTGTGTTTACTTCATTAGAGAAAAAATCTAAAACGTACGTTATTCCACGAACTCCACTGAAAATCTTTGCCTTTTTACTTAGAAATTTAACAAAAACAAAACAATAATCCTTAAAATTTCAATGGAAATATCGTTACTCACCTGCAAAGCAATCAATATACGTTAAGCAAAAACAGCGTTGCGTCGGCAATGTCAAATAAAGGGAAAAAGGCTGAATGCAAAAATTTCTGGTGAACTGTCGCTGATCCAAGTGAAGCACGTCATATATACTCTGCCCTCTGTCTAGAAATCATACACTTATCAGGATATTGTAAAAAGAAACTACTACAAAAGGAAATTCATGAAATGTTTTTTGAGTGACATACATCATTCCTTTTATTACTGGCTTCTCATTACACGTGCAGGTACGTACAGTACCGTGTGACAGCCGTATAATATGTAGGGAAAGACGAACCCGGATCCTGAGCATTCTTTTCAAGCACATACAGGTACGGAGTGATAAGCTCAGTATCAGAACAGTACAGGCAGTTGTTGATTTGTGAAAAATGTCAATGTGCCCTTAAAGTCTAACCTTGCCCATAGGCAAAACGCATATTTTTTCAGAGAATTTCATCAGCTATGTTACCAGTATGTTGTAAGAATGAAGTAATTTTCTGTACAAGTTGATGCTGTATTTATTAAGTGTTCGTTGTAAGCGTTCCGAGACCCCCTGATGTAGGGTGATACGATGAATATTATTTTCTTTTTTTGTCACTGTTATGAGCTGTAGCATGGGCACTTCTTTGTTTTTGTTTCTTGCCCATCTTTTCCTCCTTTTTTAATGTGAAGGGAGGTATCCCCCATCGTGAGGGCAGGGCATTGCTTGATCACTTGAGTAGATGTTATATCATTTTTAAATTTAAAAGCAGATTCAGTCTATTTAAAGCAAAATGCTGTAATGATTAAGACCCTAAATGTCCATTTGTGATCTAAAATTGCACTAAATACGACCAAAATGAGCGCACTAGTGAAAGTATCACATGGGCCCATAATTTAACAAATCAAGGTGATAGACAGTGAACCAAGAGAAAATTACAGGAAAGCCCGGGAAGCCATCCACATCATGAAGACAGGGATCAGTCTCAACAAAAATAATGGTGCCATCCTCCCTGACCTCTATCTCCTTTCCTAAGATAATAGGTGTGGGTGTGTGTTTGGAGGGGGGGGGCAAGTATATCTCCTGGTTAGAGGTTATTCACCTGGATAGCCTCATAACCTGATGAAGATGTTCTGCTAGACAAAAATTTTGGAGGTAAATACTATTACAATATTAAGCTGTTGACTGAAAAAAAAATACTGCATATCATTTTATACTAAAATGGACAACATTTACCAAATTGAATTGGTTTTGATTTTCACCATTTTTTGAGGCACATTCTGATGCATGCTTGGTATTAGAAACAGTATGAATTCAGGCTAGGTTAAAGTTTTTCTATTAAAAAAGTACATATACTGGAAACATACAGTGTACTTTAGTAGCATTTTATTACAGAAATTTATTTGAACTCTGCAGGTCTCAGGATGAGGCTTTATTTCACATCAAAGATTGCTATAATTTTGCACCGAGTAATTTTATATCAATTTTGGCACTTTAATGGCCCAATAGTTATGTAGGCCTTTTCGACATTATCGCCACTGTCACCCAGCCTAAAACCAGTAACCGGAAGTGCTTCCTTGTCTGTGACGTCACCACTATCTTCCCGCCAATTATTGTCGTTCAAGTTGCAGTTACACTTTTTGCCTGGAAATATAATATCAGCATTATGTATAAAATTTATTAAAAGAAGAGTAATTTGAGTCATATTAAAAATACTTTAATCTCCACATTATTGTACGTTGGACTATCAAAGATGGCACACAGATGTAACAGCTTCAAAAAAAAAAAAGTAAAAGCAGAACGGATGAAAATGAATTTTCAATGAAATACTTATCGTGTTTGGACTGTGGAACTTCAATCTAGCTAACGAACTAACTGATTAACATATTGAGCAGAGAGTCAGTCCAAAGAGTGTACAAATGCAACTGCATATACTTTGTGCGTTTTTATCGTGTACAATAAAACAATTTTTGTTACTACATGCTTACGACTAACTCATTTTACTGCACTGTATGTTCGGAAAGAGTCGAGTTTATGATTATTAGTGAATGAAACCAAAGCAAAAACTCATCAAATAAATATTTAACTTATTTAAAAATAGATTATATATATTATATACCAAAATGCTATGACCAATTCAGCTAAATAAAAGAATAATTTCTCACCCCCGCTGCAACTCTTGGTTTTATAACATGCGCAACCACCAACTTGCGCATTTCCACCTGGCCAATAGGATTTGACTTCCTGTCCGTCTGCAATCCACCAACTGGACGATACATTGTTGGCGATATTGTGAATTATTGTATTATGGCATTCATATTTTACATGCTGGCTACAAGGTCCCGACATCCTCATCAGTGCTTTCATCTGCTGCCTCGAAATGGCATAAGATATTTTTACTGGGGAGAAAAAACGATAATATGAGAAACAAAGACTGCTTGGTTATAAAATTATCTTATTATTTCTCTACAAAAAGCCTTTTTTTGTAAAAAAAAGAAATTGTAATGAGAGAAAAAATCACCAATGCGACTTTTAAAAAATGGCAGAATGCAGCCGTTCTGTTTCAAATCTAAAAGGTAAGCGAGCTCATATCTATAAGAAAATATTCGCAAAAATAGTAAAAAAAATCAATCACAAAAACAAAATATTAGTAAACTTACGGTGATATAAGCCTGGCTGTTCAAAACCATGGATCAGCGTTCTGTCCTCTTGGTCGTGGTGAAACACGGCGATAGGTGGCGACACCGACATGTCACACCACACTTGGAATTCTGGGACACCGCGGAGGCCGTCTGGGTCAACTATGTAATGGCGACTGGTGAGAAAACCGTCAGCCAGCCAGTCAGAGCAAGAACGGCGAGCTGAAAGAGGGATAAAGTGATAAATAAATGACAGAAATACAGGCATTTGTAAAATCGAATTCATTTATAAACGATAATCATATAACAAATAATTCAATGCATCTTAAAATATCAGATCCCTTCCAAAAACGTTCCTGCCATTTAAAACATGATAAACTTATGGTACACACAAAGGCATCGGTGATACTCATAAGCTAGTAGTTTGAAGGTATGATCTGAGGAACCAACATTGCATGGAGTTCCCTCCAAGAAGTTGTCGCAGTTGGAACTCCAAGACGGCAACTCGTTTCTCGAGCTTTGTGTTGTCTCGGCCGCCAACTTCTGGAACATCGTCCTCACAATCGGCAGAGCTCCCATACAGTGCAAGGAGTGATGCGGCAAACAGGATGGCTAATGCACAAGCCATGGCTTAAGTGAAAAAGGTAAAATGAATTTGATGTTTAAATTGTTTATATATATATATATAGTATCACACGTGCTGGTAAACAAGCCCGTCTCAGTTTATACACACCTTCGCTCGTACCTGTATATACGAGGGAATTCAATCTGAAATTCTCTGTTACTGCTTATGATGGTACATATGTATTTCATTAGAGAAAAAAATCTAAAACCTACTTTATCGTCAGATTCCCACGAACGTAACTGAACACGTTTCTAGATATTGAATAAAATTCTTTTTTTCTGGGATTTCTTCATAGAAAAATTGATACTCACCTCCAAAGTAGTCAAATATATGTAGGCAAACACAGAGTTGACTCAACAAAGTCGCTTTAAGGGGAGAAGCTGAAGGCGAACCGCTCTAATGAAAAGATCTGATGAACTTTCGCTGATACTAGTGAATCACATCAAATAAACATGTACATCGTCCTTGGTCTAGAAATATTACTCTGAACAGGATACTGTAACAGGATGCTACCCAAACCTGGCCCAGCAGCTGATTGTTTGAGTGAGATAATTATCATTTAACATTTGTTTGCATTGATTGCAGAATACAATCCCGGAGCTTTGACACCCTTCCGATGCATATATGAATTCTGTAATTATCGCACTATTAATACTGTTCTGACAGTTGTCGATTTGTGAAACCTGTCAAGTTGGTGCTCTTTAAGTGTAACTACACAGGCAAAACACATATTTTTATTTTAAAAAATGGACAAAATTTTACCAAATTTAAATGTTTATATGTAGATGAAATCGGTTTGATTCCCACCATACTGTGATCCACATTTTGATGCATACTTGGTACTTGTGCGGTGTGTAATCTGTCTGGTCAAATAAAGTGCACAGGCTTAGACAAATTCTTGAGCAAGGGGATATGGGACCTGTTCCAAGGTTCACAAAACACACATGCAGGTTAACTGCACCGTCTGTGATTCTGATCTACACGCTCACTAGTAGTCAAATACGTCCGAAGAAATTAATAAATGAAAAGATTGACACTTATTAAATTACAAAACAAGGTGTCCTTTTTAAAATCCACAAGAGGACCAGGCAAAGTCTACCCCCTCCATTAATATGTTATTCAGGGCATAAAAATTTTAAAATGTTATTCAGGGCATAAAAATTTTAAAAATGTTATTCAGGGCATTAAAATGTTATTCGTGGCATAAATAGATACCTACATTCATGTATTCGGTTCGCTATTCGTGGCGATGTTCCCTATGTTCAAACACCAGGCACATATATATATATATATATATATATATATATATATATATATATATATATATATATATATATTAATAACGACACAATACAAAAACTTGTATAAATTAGCCGAAGTGTAAAATGCACAACAATACAAGCTTAGTATCCATTTATTTTCTTTTATTCTGTTCTGATATCATGAGGGATATGGACGTGCGAGAGCAGCACAGGGCTTCTCAGCAGAGGTGGCAACTTTTCCTGCAGTTCTTGGCCATGTAACCTTGGTTCCTGGTGCACTCACCAATCTCAGACCAATACTGGCAGTGGGTGCCCTGGTCTGCACAACTTCCGGTCTGAGTGCCTAGCAAATTAACGGACAGTTGACAATAAGGAAAGATAGTAGGGATTGAGCAACACAACATCACAACAACAACAACAACAACAACAACAATAATAATAATAATAATAATAACTTTTTTATATCTTGGGTATGCTAACGCGGGTGTAATTTATACCCCCTCATGCATCCCCCCCCCGACCTCCCTCCCCCATGACACACCCCAGCGTACCGTGAGGGATTACTTACTTGAACAAAGATTGCAGCTTTTCCTGCAGTTTTGCTGCATGTAAGCGGGATTGCTGGCACACACGCCTGTCTCTGCCCAGTACTTGCAGTTTGTATGCGAATCTTCACAACTTTCAGTTTGAGTTCCTAATAAAAAGAAAACACTAATACACTGAACAGAATGAACACACACACACACACACACACACACACACACACACACATTAACATGCACACACAAACACACATAAACAAACATAAAAGAAAAGAAAAGAGTCAAACTGTGTCACGAGAGAGACCCTTGTGATTCGTGGTCTGATTTCCACTTATTTGCACAGGTAGGCCTAAGTCTTGCCCTAGATATTGACCCATTTCCGTCACGCATACTCTAACCTGTATGAATCAAATGAAAAACGGACTTTCTGTTACCCGTACCCTCAGTTTCCTAACACCGGTGGCATGATGCATGTACTGAAACTTACCTGCCGCGCAGAGGTTGCAACTTTTTTTGCAGCTCTTTGCCATATAGACCCTATTGGTAGAGCATTTCCCTATCACATTCCAGTCAGAACAGTAGGCGTGCTTGTCTTTACAGTTTTCCAATATATCGACACCTTATAATAATAATAATAATAATAATAATAATAATAATAATAATAATAATACAGTGTAATTAAGAAACATTTACAACAGTGCTATGTGGAATATAAATACCAATTAAAGCTTATAATTTACATTTAATAAAAAATCCTGTTTGCAATGACCGACTCATATTCTAAACAACAAGGCCTCGACCACGTGCCTCGGCATTATGGTTTTTTATTCTTCCTTATTCGAGAAATGAAGTCATTATTCTCGCTGATTCGTGATTTCCAGCTCATTTTCCTGAATTCACAATGCGAAATTTAATTTCCTGTCCTGGGATAAGGCCCATTGCTGATAGATAAAAAACCGTATTCCATAAGCAAATACGATATAACTACTGGTAATAATAACATAAATTGGCCTAGGCCTACCAGTTGAGCACAAGTTACAACTCTTCCTGCAGTTCTGCTCCATATAGACCTTGTTCCTGGAACAATCACCGTTCTGAGACCAGTCCTTGCAGTAAACATGACCATCTGCACAGTTCTCTGACGTACTGGTTCCTTGTATTGTAAAAAACTGCTTCATTTCTCTTTCTTATATGAATTTCAACACAGCGTGATACAACAAATTACAATACAAGTAAATACACTACATAGGCCTATATAACACTACAGTATAATTAATGTACAATTCTACTGCAGTGTGGCACAACACAGCACAATACATCACAATTTTAAGTACATACATCACATCACTGTACATCACGATTATAATATACCGCACAATAACATGTATAGGCCAACACAACACAACACAACACACAGCACAATACAATACATAATAACGTACAACACATTTCAATACGCATTACAATACATGATAGAACACAACACAAAACACAATGCAATACACAATTCATCATGCTACAATACAATACACCACAGAATACAATGCACAATAAATCACAACACAATACACATACATACATTGCACAATGAAACACAACATAATACACGTACACAATGAAACAACACATTACACAATGGAATACAATACAGTGCAGAACCATAGAATGACCCACCAGAAGAGCACAAGTTACAACTCTTCCTGCAATTCTGTTCCATATAGGCCTTGTTATAGGAACATTGGCCGTTCTGAGACCAGTCCTTGCAGTAAACGTGATTGTCAAAGCAACTTCCGGACCCCGTGCCGGACCCTGAGCCGGACCCCGTACCTGTGGCAGGACTGATAGCCGGTATGGTGACCGGGACGGTCGCGACGCAGTTCATCCGTAACTGCTGCGCATGCTCCTGTGCTAATTAAGTTCAGATAAAAATTTTTTTCAATACATCCATTGGCAATAAATCCCTGGTTTTTATATTATTGCTTATTCGTCAATTATTGCTGGTTTTGATTTAGAAATAAATGAATTAAAATAAATCTTAAAAGAACAACGAATCTTAGGGGAAAAAAACGCCCAAGCTTTCTTCAGGGCATGTCGAATAAATAAAAAAGGAGGCCGGTCACCCTTATTTGCTAAAATAAGGAATATATTCCTTATCAACTGATTGGATAATACGATAATAGAATGTATGTTGATTTATAAATCTATAGTTAAATTAACAAACAAACAGACACAAAAATAAATAAATAAATAAATAAATAAATAAATAAATAAATAAATAAATAAATAAATAAATAGAAAAATAGCACACCTACATCGAAGAGTTTGACTATTGCCACATCTGTTGATATAGTGGTTGTTACATGGAAAGATCTCCTGGACTAAGGCATAGGCAACAGGGTCGTAATTCTTCAGGTCGTCCTTGGTGCGGACGGGACCGTCCTTGTTCACAGAGGCTCTCTGGGTGTTGGCGTTAAAATAACTTTGCACTGCCTTAGCCTTTAAAGGGTGAAATATGAATGAGTTTATGGCTAAGATATATTGGGAAACAAGTGCGCAAAATAAATAAATAAATGAAAATAATAAATAAATAAAAGAAATAAAATAAAATAAAGGCTTAAGGAATGAAAGGCTCAGAAAAAATTGTGTCGGTAAAACAATTGTTTGCGTAAATTGTTAGTCGGTTTTAGTACAATTGTTCAATAACAGCACAGGAAGACTACCCTTTCTGTTACTTGAGACCAAAGACTTTGTCGTAGAGAGGATAATACTTATTATAGTCATTTATTCTTTATTTGCTGGATATGTACACACCCAGTATTCGACCTCATTGGTGATGGAATACGTGTCAGTCCACAGGCCCCGAGAACGAGCGCTGGCATACGCCCTTTTCAGGCGGCTTTTAAATCCGGGGATAGCAAAATGCACTCCAAGGGCCTGGAGCCCGTGCCCGTACTCGTGCAGAGCGACGTCATCGTTGGGGTCAAAGGTATCCGAGGAATAACAGAGAGCGTTCTCCTCGGCGCAAGTGGCCACAGGGGCTGACAACGAGGCTCCGAAACCACGTGCTATACTGTCCCAATAGGAATCCAAATACGCATGCTCCGGGATGCTTCGGGTGACTTCGTTCATCGCATACACGGCGAAACGGCCGAAATGTTTGTAGTAGGAAAGACGAATGTCTTGTCTGTCGGCAAGCAGGAATCTTACGACATAACACGCGCGTTTTAGTGCATTGTCAGGTACATGTACAGAACCTGAAAGAATATTTAAGACAAATTGTACGGTAAGGTATGTACTTTGGATTCAAGAGTTAACTAAGACTTGTGCATTTTTATTTCCCCACAAAAAAAAAAAAAGAAATAAACCGGAAAATAATTCTTAGTATCAGTGTAGACTCCTTTAATAAATTAAAGCCTCGTTTTTTTATATTTTTTTCTAAAAAGGTTTTTAATTATTCCATGTAATACTTTTTTCGGCTCCGGAAATTTAGTTGATAGATGATTACATGTATATATACAATGTACGTTTTATATATTAGATGTTTGTTATCAAAATTAAAAAAAAAACTCAACACACTTAGAAATAAAGTTTATCATAATCTAATTTTAAGAAAAAGCATTCCAATCCAATGTTAATGCACGGTGGTGCAAAGTTTTATTGAATTAAAGAATGTTACTGCGCTTTCCATACACAAATTCAATTATCTGTGGTTGGCATGAAACTATAAATATGCTGCTTCCACTAAAAGTGATCTGTTTCTGAAGCAAAAATTGTCACTTATTAGAACATTACCAGAATGTTTCAAAACCGTACCTAATATTGGTATCCCGTAGGCCTCAGTATATTTCTGATAGTATGCACTTATCCCGCTAGGGCCCATATTAGCAGCACTGCGGAGTTCCCCAGGGACAGCTCTTACGTTCCAACAGCTGTGAGACTTCGTGGGGGCGCCAGGTCTCTCGCTGGACCGCGAATTTATCGTCCTCATAAACATGGCCGACGATGCAACTTGGTTAAGGAATTCGATAATATGTTTAGGTTGTTAAATCTATATTAAAACTGTATTTGGGCAGGATTTTAATGCACGTGCATTGCGCTAACGAAAGATAAAATGCTAGTACAGGGGTAGAGTGGATTTTTACAACGTTGAGGAACAGAGGACCATGATTGGAGCAATTCAAAGGGGAGTTAGGCATATAGAGATTTTCTCTAGACATATTTTTAGTAAACCTTGCGTCCATCTGCACGAGAGAAAGCGATTGTTACATATACTGGTTTAAACATATGTATTATTCTGTACGAGTATCTATCCACTTTTTCTCTTTTGGAATTGGCAAACATGTTGAATATTTCAAGTTGGCCACGGGTGCCGCTTAGATACCTAAGCTGGACACTTTCAAACCTTCCGAATAATATTTTTTAAGTTCCAAGGAAACAAAATGTCTAGGTTTACGTTAGGACCCATCAAGCGTGAGAGAACCATGCATAAAGAGCACTGGCGTGCATGTTAACTAAACAATAGAGGGAGCCACATGTCACACTTACCGCCAAAGCACAACAGAGCGCATGTCACTGATCGTAACAACAACCCCATATTTCTTTCAGTGCGGTTTGCCTCGTAGAAGAACCTATGATAAATGTCAAGTACTAAAATGTTGAAACACGAATACCGACCACAGTCTGTTTATCGCCACATTTGTAACCACACCATGTGGTAGGTTTCTCATGCAGTGTTGATATTTTCCTTTATGGTCTGTTGATATAGAGTATGATCGTTTATTTAACCCCGGCAGGCAGGGAGGTCACTCTTACTCCCAGCAGACATGTAAACCAGGGGTTGCTTTTACTGTCTTGTTTATCGAAAACCCCAAACTTAAAAAAAATCTATTTGCCGAACGTTCGTCATACGGGTACAATATTAAAATATCAAAACTGAAGTTAAAATATACCGTGTCGTAAGTGACTAAAGGTTTTGACCTAGGAGTAGGCATAGCGTTTTTTAAACGATCAATTATTTTTATATCATTACACAGCAGACAATAAGAAGGCAATTCACCATTTGATAGACCTACCAAAAGTGATTTAAATGACAAACTTTAGAAGTTGGCAGTCACTATTGTGTCTGCTTTTATCTGTCGTGTAGGTATTTTCAAGATTTGAATAGAATTAGTTCCAAAATAATCCTTTGGTTTTTATAGAGGAGGAGTTTTCGAATTATGGCTTTTGCGCTCAGATTGAGAATGTGAAACATGACTTAAATTGTAAAAAGTCCAATTAATTTATTTGATAAAAAAAAAAAAAAAAAAAAAAAAAAAAAAAAAAAAAAAAAAAAAAAAAAAAACGTGCACATACATGTAATTACCAAAGCATAATCCGAATCATCACTATTAAACGTCACAATACCCAGAATTTCCAGTTTTTAAAAATGTTCTTTCGCTGGGAGTTGGGGGTGAGGAGTGGGTGGAAGACAAAGAAAGAGAGATCGAGGGGCCCCTTGGACCAACGAAGACACTTCATCATCACCTGTCAGGCACGCGCGTTCTATCACGCTGTAAACTTACCCCATTAATGGTAACATTAGCACGCTAACAGGGCAAACAAATGTACATTTCTTCAACAAGACTTGTTAACGTGATCAACTAGCGTCTGGGATATGTCTACTGGAGGTGGGCAGACAGTTAGGTAAGACGGCCATCAGGTTGATAAAGGTGAGTTTGACTAGCTTGTTAACAATTTGATTGATCTTTATTATGTCATAGACACAAATATACACCAGCCATTGCTGAAGTGTCGTTTTTCACTAGAACACCCAAGATGGTCGCTAATTTGCCTGATAGTTCAACTGGCAAGTGTTTAAGTGATCGATCTCATATATTTTACATATATGTATAAACACATGAATTTGTAGGTGTGAACAGACTGCCTTTTAAAATTAAATGCAAGCCCAAAAAATTATAAATAAAGCTTTTGTATAATTGTTTTAAAGATGATTCTATTAATATTGCTTGAGCTATCTTGACGTGTTTCGTTGCAACGGTATAAGACTCACTTCTTCATCTTTTTATTCTATCGTTTATCATTGTCAAAAATTTAGAGAGACCGACACAATTAAATCGGGCCAAATTCGGGTGATTCCGAATATCATTTGAATTCACTCATATTCACCCAAGAGGTCTCCATTGATAAATATTAGTATATCAAACCACTGCATAACATTATTTTGTTCTTTGTTCAGACTATGATGCATTTGACAAAGGAGCAGGTTTTGCAGTGTACATGTATATGCCTAGTTTGTCTCGCGTGTGCGCGGGCTCAGGTAACCCTGGCAACCACGCCTAAACACCCTGCAGAAGGTATGTGGATCACAAAATAAAACCACAGCATGTGAACCATCGTTAGCAATATACAGTCATTAATTACTTATCAAACAGCTGATATGATTCAATCCGGAATGTTTCACATTTTAGTACGTCACACGCCAGGTTTCAGCTTTAAAATATATTTTTCTAAACCATCCCAGGCACTCAGTGTATTTACATGTATTTCCTTATAACTAAATTTTAAATTCGCTCATCGCTGCTGATTAGGGCGTTTGAGGAAGCATGCAGTCTAGGAAAGATGTATATTTAATTTTTTGCATTTATTCTAAGGGGTATGTGTATTTCGGATGTGGTTTCCTGTGGCCATTTCAGGGCAGTGTGAATGGAAGGGGTGGTCACCGTGCAGCGCCTCGTGCGGCGGGGGGATTCAGGCTCGGGAACTCGACGACTGCTGCCACCTCTGCGTGACGAGAGTGGAGGCTCGGTCCTGTAATCAGGAGGATTGTTCTGGTACGGAGAGAGAGAGAGAGAGAGAGAGAGAGAGAGAGAGAGAATCCAAGAGAGAGAGAGAGAAATTGAGAGTTAGAGACTAGTACGGAGAGAGAGAGAGAGTCAGAAAGAGAGGGAAACTGAGAGAGAGAGAAAGAGACTGAAAGAGAGGGAGAAAGAGAAATTCAGAGAGAGAGAGAGAGAGAGAGAGAGAGAGATGAAAAAAGGGTGAAAGGAGGGTATAAGTACTACAAACTCCCCTCGCTGTTAGTATCGTGTAGCAACATCCGACTTATGTCAACTTGCCCCGTTGATCCAATGATGCCTTCTTTGAAGAATATAGGTATTATCATAAAACAACATGTATAATCGTATATTAGTATATACAGGAATGCAGTTGCAACTGAAAATACATTTTTTACAGGCAATTAAACTATTATACTATTTAAATACTGTATATGCAAAATTTAAATTAACAAACCTGTTTTGAAAAAGGTACGAGGATGAGAAAGTCTGCTATGTGCTTCTTATATTTTATTTAACCCCAGCTCCAGTTATCTTAATAACCATCTTTACTGAAAAGTATTCTTATAAAACTTTTTATATCTATAACAAAAGCTGATTATCTCACATCTCATTCCAGTAAGTGTCAATGGTTACTGGGGCGAGTGGTCTGGGTATGGCGACTGCAGCGCCACATGTGGTGGAGGAATTCAACTGAGAACGAGGTCATGTGACAGACCCTCCCCAACAGGTCAAGGTCGTCCATGTCCCGGACAGTCCACGGAAATCCGGACATGTAATGAACACGGTTGTCCAGGTAGGTGTTTTAATTAACTTTGGTTAATAACCTTGACCTTACTGAATTGCTCTCGATCAGTCTCAGTATGTACTGGTGAATTAATAATAATAATAATAATAATAATAATAATAATAATAATATATTTAGAAGACACCTATAACAATCTCAAAAAATAGATTTAACAAATGATAAATAATGATTTAAAAGTTTTTAATAAAATAAAACATATCTACTGGTAGTATAAAATGCATTAGTAGTTAGAAAAAATAAAAAAAGAAAACAAAATATCAATTAAAAATTACAACACTTTTTGAAAAGCACTTGTAGAACCATTAATTTGAAATGTATATAGGCTACACATTCTGTTTGTCGTTTATTTTCTCAAATAACCTGTACGTGACTCTCAATCGAAAATAGAAATGTGCCTTTCTACTGATATTTGACTTACATAAAGTTTTATCGTTAGTGCATCTTGTTGCGCCTAATGTACATGTATAATCTGATGTCGTACATGGACGCTGTACTACATGTAGTACATGTATAATGCAAGTCAAAAATTTTTTTAGAAATAAGTGTTTTTAAATATTTGATTGCAATATATCAGCAAAGCGTCCGTGTAGTTCTTAAAATCGTCCAGAGAGTTTTCACATGCCTGGTTGTTGATTTCTCTGTTAACTGTTTTCCTTGTCTCCTTTAGTCAATGGAAATTGGAGCGAATGGTGTGAGTGCCCATCTAAGTGCAGCGTAACTTGTGGAGGGGGAGTGCGCACGCGTACTAGAGTGTGCAGTAATCCAGCGCCAGCCAATGGCGGGGCTGATTGCGTCGGACCTAGCCAATTAGAAGAAAGCTGTAATACACTTCCTTGTGGAGGTGAGTGCGGTTTAAGTGACCGGACGTTTTTTACCCTTAATAAAATGGACAATGTATAAATAGTAAGCAGGAGCTCCAAGACGGTCATAACGTTGAATCAAGTACGTTTAATGATATGATGATAGAAGTACTACATGTAGTAATTACCCCTGTAGTTAATGCCACGACAGTCTGACTGGAATTCACCTTTGGGATAGCAGTATCTAACCTTCTGATATCAGGAGCCTTTAAAGTATAGGCCGATACAATAATTTTGTAACAGACTACTAGCGAACCCCAGGGTCAGAGAGTACCACTATCTTCATCTAGTAGTACATGCACGGTACATGTATTATATACAGAAAAAATGGAAACTTTTCATGATATTAAAGCTGAATTTTTAAATTCGCAATAAGATTAAAACAAATGACCAACATCTCCGCGTTTGTCGTTACAGTGGACAGTCGCTGGTCACCATGGTCGAAGTGGTCAAGTTGTGACCGCGTATCATGTACAACTGTACGTACGCGCACCTGTTTATCTCTGAACCCACAAAGCGGTCACTGTTTCGGACAGGCGTATGAAAAGCTGCCATGTGCTGCATCATGCTGTTTCGGTAAATTTCCCCAGTTTTCATTGTTATTTTATTTTATTTTTTATATGTATTTCTTCATTTCTTTTTCTTATTTCTTTCCTGTTCTATTTGTTGGTTTCTTTGTTTACTCATTTATATCTTTTCTTAACTCAAATAAAACTAAACGTGCCATTATTACATCCCCTTTTATTTTTTATGATAATTTTTCGAACGTCTTCCAATTTATGCCGTATCTGGATCTCAATTAGACTAAATGCATTATTCTACGTTAAACATTTATCACTGGTCAACACTGCACGATTCAGATCTTTATGTTTTGTGTATTCTATGCACTCGCGATAAATTCTAGTTAGCTGTTAGCTATTATTACCATGCTGTAACGTTTTACTCCCAGTCTTCACCTCATTCAGAACCCGTGCTCGTTTCTTTCCCAGGAACGTATCGTCTTGGATACTCCGCCTCACCTCAAGCGCAGTGCCACCTATAATTCTGAAGGGCTGTGACTGTAGGAGGGAAATGCCCATTACCATGTTAAACGTTCGCCATTTACAAGTTTATTTAGATCAATGAAATACTTAATATCACATAAGAAAGAGCTAAGAATTTCAAAGACTTGCCGTCTAAACACATAAAGCAATGGGACTCATAATAAAGATAATGTATGTTGGGAGTGTGCCAGTAAAATCTTACATCATTTTTGTGTACTGCATTTACTTTGTTGATGTCACATTCACAAGCGATGAAGTAAATATATTTCACAGCCTGGTTATTTCAATTGATGTACATGTAGTAAAAAGCAAAGCACTTATAGAAGAGGGGTAGCTTAAGCCCGCAGTAACCAGTGATCGACCAAATGTCATCCATCGTTAACCGTAAAAGTGATATCTTATTCACATTGGACTCTGTGGATCACTTCAAAGTCGCGATACGGTATTTTCATCGATGGTTAAGCGAGATATTATTTGCTGTGGCTTGTGATCATTGATTTTAATTCTTGTGATGCTCTGGTTGGACCCCACCGCCATCCTTTCTCTCAGACAAACCCAAACATTGAATAGCACTGCAACATGACACAGTCAGCTGTCATTAATTTTTTTAACATATCACTCCGTAACAGTGTCAGAGGATGGAATGGTGCAATGTGTTTACTTTATCGATATGTTGATAAGAAAGTAATGTCGACGGTCAAAATTGCTCTAAGAAAAAATGTATGTAGTAACAATAGAGATTATATAATATTGTATAATATTTATCTAATAAAAGATGTGAAATTAAAACTTTGAAAGATTATTTTCTCGACACACACACACACTCACACACACACACACAGGCAAAAGATAATTATCTCCAAAGACACTAGAGTGACTTTTGTCGAAATCGTATTGCATGAAATACACGACAATTAATGAAAAAGCCATTTTCTTTAAAATATGCCATTGCTGCACCTAAAGCGTCTCCACTCACATTCCGATGTACTGAACCGAACAAGGTGACATATTGCGGGTTTTCCACGGTGATCTAAGTGAAATTAATTCAGCGTAGACACTTATAACTACTGTTAGTTATCCAGTGTGGGGCTTTATGTTGCAAAATTTACTTAAGGGCCGGTGCCAATGAAAATATCGATCAACTTGATTGCCGTGTCCGTTCGTTTGCAGTCAAAACGCAGTGAAAAAGCTTTCACAATCTGAGTTCATACGAAAGTTAATCACCCCCTCCCAGCTGCTCGAGGAGTTTGGGTTAATTCCACATTGGTTAATTAGATATGATCTAGAAGCCGAACGTTTTCCAGTCTATATTTCACACGAAACACCATTTTTAGCTTGCAGCTTATAATTCTAGTCACGCAAAATTAATGGTTAGTGAAGTCAAATAAACACCTATGAAGAGAGTATGTAATTTGTCGGAATGAGAAAACACGCTTTAATTTTATGCACGACATAAATCAATGCGTTTTGCTCATGTTAATGCGTTTTACAGAATGATAACAGAATAAGGCCTCAACTTTTCTATTTGTCCTGACATGATAACCGCGTAATTTTGAATTGAAATTGAAAAATGTCGTGCCTCTAAATGTAGTCCGTTAAAATCTTTAATTTTTTTTTTTTTTTGCAATATTTTAAAGGTACCCGGAGTCTCAGCGTGTATTGTGCCCGATGTTGTACATGTATGTGTATACATTATGCATTTATTCCCCAAAGCTTTCTGTATCATGGTATTTTCACCGCTTTCTTTAAATAAAATACCATTTTTTCCATTAGAATTTGAAAGGAAATAAAATGAAAACTGTAAGCTTGATGGTGTACTCAATGATGATCCTGTGCTGAAAGAGAGATTAAGAATTGAAGGGGTTCGGGGGGTTCGAAAGAACCGCCCTTTTTATCAGGAAAGGGTCCATTCTGGGTAAAAGTTGATATAGGTGCACAAAAGTTTCATTGTAAAAAGTCCACTTTTTCGGAAAAAGAACCCCCCTTTTGAAATTGCTGGCTACGGGATTGTTGTTTTTATAATACTTTGCTGCTTGCGTTTGAAAGATTGGTACGTTATATGCGCTGTCGGAAGCGTGTCATTTGACGAAGGGTGCGATTAAAACACCAGTTTAACGATTATTTTTCCTGGTCTAACTAAAAGCAATGACGTCGCTTCATTCCATTCGCATTGACCAATGTTAAGGCTGTTTGTAAGAAGATAATTAAACCCATTCCTCATGGTGGAAGTGCGTTTAATTTCCTTTAATCGACACCGTATAGACAACCAAACCGTTTGTCGTCGTCAACTAAAAGTGCAGATCTTGATTAGGTCCCTGTGGAGAGACCACGGCACAGGTGATTTGTAAGCTTAGGTGAGTCTATTCTATTCTTACGTAAACCTCATTTTTTTCAGTAGCTAAACTGATTAAGAATTTATAGAAACAGCGAATTGTTATGTCCTTCAAAAGGATGGTGTGGGCCGAATATCGGCACATACAGGTACAGCATATCTAAATAGTGGATTTTAGATAGGTATGTCGTTAAGTTTGTAATGAAGACACATGGCCAGATTATATAAGGTAGAGGTATGGTAAAACATGCTAATGAACTGAATCTTGACTACTAATTACATAAAGAATTCAGGAGGACCTTTAGAAATGTTTTAAGCAAGCACATATGCATAATTTGAACTGGTGCTGTTTAATTAAGTCATGAGCCCTATTGAAATAAGAGTCTTAGCAGATTCTATTTGAATTCGATTATTCGGATATTAAGCAAAGCAAATGGCTTTTTGGGTCATATGGCAAACAGAAAACCTGTTGCGATTATCAAGTCCATATCATTGGTTTATCTCAGTGATAAAGACGGTGTGTGGAACATTTGATGAGTTACATGTTGGCTGAACTGCCTTATCTCACGGTCTTCTGAAATCGTGAAATAAAGCTGCATAAAATGTGACCGCTGTGCGTCAAAAAATTGCCATTTTCGCTGACGTTCATCTCCACTCACATACCAACGTGTTAGCACGCCTTGTGCACAGCATCAAAATGAGCCTGGTTGTTGACATCAACAGTTTGAGGTCACGTCCGTGCCTGTGGTCGATGTCGTTTTCTTGATCTTTGCTTACTTGTACTGAGAGAGTATATTATATCTACATGTACATATGTTTTGTTGCCAATCCAACAGGTATCAGAAAAAATTTTTTGTTAGTTTTAGTACACATTTTACTTTTTTTCAAAGACGAAGCGTGCGCATTGGAGCACGAGGAAAAAACTTTAATGTTGTTGTCAGGTGATGAAGAATAAATGGAGCTGTAATTGTTAAATTAGTCACCTGCATTCTGAATACCGTGCAATTACACTTAATCTGAATTAAATATGCCATAAAGAAGGATAAACTCAACAAATTTGAAGGTAACATAAAATGGCCATGTTTTAAGGCATCATAATGCATGCAATGCCTTGTAATCTAAATAAATTTGGATTTGCTTTCACAGTTTAATTACATACATTTCTACTTATCTTAGGATAAAAACTTTCATTTCAGCGATTATACAATATAAATATATATTTTTTCCATGAACATTATACGTACAGTACATGAATCCAAATGCATATTAATGTAGCTGCGTTCATTATATGTAGTGTTTCTTGCATATAATCATATGCATTGGTTTTGTTTCCAGATGATGATTTTTCTCCACAGCACGCTGGGGCCTGCACTGCTAGTATGGTGCTTACTAATTGTGATTGGGACAGTGTCACATGCGAAGAAAATAAAATTCCCGGACACGACACCCAGGCCACCCATCAAAGGTAATTTAAGAAATGCTTTCTCAATTGTTAACGTTATAACGTCACAGTGTTGTAGTGCTTGTCGCATATAATAAAGTTAATTTTTAATAATAATAATAATAATAATAATAATAATAATAATAATAATAATTAGTTGTACAACGACAACAATTATAATAATAATAATTATTATTATAATGATGATGATGATGATGGGCTTGCAGTAAAATAACAATATACACAATATCTATTAATTTCGGCTATACTGCACATAGTTTAGAGAAGGGTAAAAAATGAAATAAAAAATAGAGTGAATAAAAGTCTCCCCATCTTTCTACATCAGATTGCTCAATTGACCTGTGTCTTGCCATCGACACGTCTGGAAGTTTAGAAGTAGAGACCACTGACGGAAAGACCGCCTTCGACCACGTGATAGACTTCACCCTCAGCCTCATGGAACGCATAAATAACTTGGGGCTGGACGTCGATCCACGCTACGCCGCTGTTGTCTTCTCCCATACTGCCAGAGTTTACTTCAACTTCAATATTAATCAAGAGATGAAAACGCTTAGACCAAAATTAAAACGCCTGAAGTTGTTTGGTGGAGGGACGAATATACCGGATGCCATGACGACGTGCCGGAAGTTACTCACGGATCCGGCGAGTGGTGCTCGACTGGTACCGGAAGTGACGCAAGTGGTGCTCGTGTTGACGGATGGTGTCAGCACCAAAGGATTGGGTAGGCTCTCCACAATTACCAAAATGATGGTACAAGTAGTACTACTGGATTTGACTGTCTGTAAATTGCACATTGTTTTTTTTTTAATTTTACAATACATTTATTCTCATTATTTTAGCCTCTGGTTAAGATTGAACCCTCCCTCCCCTTCAAAGAAAAAACCAAAGAAAAAAGAAAAGAGAGAAAATCGAAGCTTGAATTACCACCTTTCAAGTGTCATGAATTCTAACCATCAATTTCCAGGTAAAATGAGCATAAGTGAAGCCGCTTACGATTTGGGTAAACGTGGCATAATAAGCATCTCTCTGGGAGTCGGAAACCTGGATGATAAAGAACTTCTTGCCATCGCCCAAGGCAGCTCAAGCGCCACCTTCCATGTTGATGATGCGGAGAGTTTGATGGATATAATTGACACAGTTGGGATATCTGCTTGCACGGCAACCTTACCTCCAACTACTACAACTACTACAACTACTACTACAACAACAACACCTACCACAACTACTACTCCTACTACTACGACTACAACTACGACTACAACAACAACAACAACGCCATCTATCACCACTACGCCAACTACAGGCTTTCTTCCATTTACAACCTCTAAGTCAATTGCAGCTTCTACACCAACTACAGCATCTCCGCCAGCTACAATATCAAAGTCCATTACAGGTTCTACACCAATTACAGCTTCTCCGCCAGCTAAAATATCAAAGTCAATTACAGGCTCTAGACCAACTACAGCTTCTTCGCCAGCCACAATATCAAAGTCCATTACAGGTTCTACACCAATTACTGCGTCTCCGCCAGTTACAATATCAGAGTCAATTACAGGTTTTACACCAACTACAGCTTTTCCGGCAGCTACAGTTTCTAGATCAATTACAGCTTCTACGCCAGCTGAAGCCTACAGGCCAACTACGTCCACATCAACTACAGCCAATACGCCAATCACACCTCCTACGCCAGCTACTACTACCTCCCCAACAAGAAGTACACTTTCCACCACTGCCCAACCGTCTGTAACCAGGGAGTTCACCGCGGCACCTGTGACCCACATCGTGCCTGGTGTACCTACCACGACTAAACCAATAACGACCAGTGAGTTGGAGGATTTCCATGTAGACAAAGAGTATGGCGGGCGGGTGACGCCACAGACGCCACCAGGTGGGTATTTGTCGCATGAGATATAGTGTAGTTTTAGTGTCAGTACAGGAATTGCATTTTATATTGCCACCCCTTCCAACACCAACCGAACCCCCCAAACCGACCCAAATTGCACCACTCCACCCCAACCTTATCACCCTACCCCAAACCCCACTGCATTCCTCTACCTTAACCCAAACAAAACAGCTATTGCAGTTTTAGTCACCCTGACGATGGGCATCAACCAAGGTTTCGGGATTTGGGGTAGAATCAAGTGAGATTTAAGGGGAAAGGAGCAAGAAAAACCATGTAAAGGCATATCAGCTAGTGCAGTGTAGCAACAATTAATTAAACTGACATCAGACGTCCATGGATTTTTTTCTGTTTATGTTCTGCCGTAATACCTAGTCAGTATATATTTAAACTTATAATTGGCACGTTCACAAAAGCGGACTAACTAGTTCACGGTTCAAATATGTCCATCCCACTTCAGTGCTTGTTCCGTAATACCCACGGGAAGCTAGTCAGTGTCTATTAAGAGATGAGACGGCAAGCTTTCAAATGGGTCGCCATATTTGATCCGCGGACTAGTTAGTCCGCTGTTCTGAATGCAGCCATTGTCTGCTTTTCCAGATGTCGGCTTTTCCTGTTCCTCATGGAGCGAGTGGGAGGAGTGCGACCGCCCATGCAACGGAGGGGTGCAGACCCGTTACAGAGACTGCTGCGGGAATTGTGGAGTGCCTGACACAACGCAAACGCGCAAGTGCAATACTCAACCTTGTGCAGGTGAGCTTTTTACAGTTACAGTTTTATTATGCCTTTAACGTATAAACAGACTTTCGGTTTTTGTTGAATTTTTTTTTATTGTGTTTTCATACGTTATGTCACATACCGCCATCTTCTTTTAAAAAGTCAAATTAATGCCTTCAGTTCACGGTAGATGGAGCCAGTGGACGGAGTGGTCAGCCTGCACAGCTAGTTGTGATGGGGGCGCCAGGGGGCGAACTCGGTCGTGCACGGCACCCCATCCTGTCGGAGACGGTCAAAGTTGCCAGGGGTCATCTGTGGAGTTCCAGAATTGTAACTCACATCGCTGCCCAGGTAGGTCAACTGCTGTTTCAGCTGTCCAGAAGACTATATATCTATTTATTAATTTATCGACTTCGATTCAAATGATTTATTTATATGGAATTTTACTTTCATTTGTTAACCACCTACTCACATAGCCATTAAATTTCTACCTGATTTATGTTTGATACTGAACATTGCAAACTTGAATACAGGAAAAAATCTCACATAGTTTGTCAAATCTGATGTTCAATTTCAGTGTGTGAAGGAAGTCACGTGCGCGATTACACGTGCTCACCCCACGTGCCGTTGTACTTATACTGCCAGCGCGGCACGGTGAAGGTCACGGGCGTCTGTGCAGTGTACAATTTTATACGGAACATGTGCATTCCGATCCCGGATCTCCTGAACCAACTCAACGTAAGTCGAAACTATGTATATAGTATAAATACATGTACATACATGCCAAAACTTCGATGCATGTTATGGAACTGCTGTACCAGTATTTGACCTCGAAAAAGTGGAAAAGCAGGTGACCGAGTGGATTTAATAAGATTGGGACAGTGGGAAACTAACTACTGTATCTCATCAGTTTTACTTTCCCCTTAATAAGTTTATTTGTCGTAAATGTCATGTTCTCCTCTGCCCGCACATCGTTGAGTATTCAAATGTGCTTTCAATTTCTATTTTATGATCTGCATATTTTATTTTATTTTGTTTTTATTCTATTTAATATATTCTCATCTATTTAATAATCCGTCATTTATCTATTTATTTTTGTTTATTCGTCGTATATATGTTTTATGTGTTTTAGTCCCAATGCAGCAGCACGTCGTTTTGCCGAGTTACTAACACGTGTGGTGACCTCGACTACCTCTCCATCCGGGTTACCTACCAATGCTGTGACGTCACCCCTGTGTGTGACCAATGGAGCAAGGCGCCAGAATGTCAATCATTCACTGGTCCTTAACATGTGATGCTCAGTTGACCGAGACGTTGTTTCTGCACAGAGAAGTCAGCTGTATCGCCGGCATGGTGATTCTTCGTTAGACCGTGGCTTCAATTCACAAAAGAAATTAAGTCCAAAATTACCAGATGTTGATATATTAGAGCGACAAGCTACGCGCGTAATTGTAACTAAACCCATCATAAATTTGCAAAACTTGATCAAAGGGAGGAGTGTGTGATGCCTCTTTTCAAGGTTAATAACATTGGCTTTTGATTATATAATGAGGACCCCAACACCGGTACCGATACTTCATTTTAGTTTCTTTGAGAGAATTACAGAAGTATCCGATACATTCGCTCCATTCGGAATGGATGATCCGAGTACTTACTGATCCGCCGACTAAATATGGCCGACCACAATTCCAAAGCGATGCCGCTGATTCCTGATGGTTTCCCCGACTCTACACGCGCCTTTAAACGGATTAGATATGTGCTTCGAGGTTTAATTGCCAGGCCCCTGCAGCAACCGCGCGTGTGCAGGCGGGGAGAACAAAAGGTTCCAGCGGCACCGCTTTTGAAATGAGTCAGCAGATCAGTAAGTACTCGGATCAGCCATTCTGAATGGGGCTATACACGCACGCATTCGTTTTACCCGGTGACTTTTATGTCAAATATAAAATGCCAAAAAATGACAACCTTAAGAACGCGGAGCTCGATACGTAGTACGAATAGAGAATTGCCCATGCTTTTAATTTTTTACCAGCAAGGAATTGTCTTAAATTGGCAGTCGTTTGTTCAATGTTAACTGTCATCTAAAATGTTAAGGATGACCATTCATTAGATTTATGCAAGATATTATTATTAATTTGTTAACTTCTTGACAGAAATCATCCGTAACAAATATTTTTCAACAGCCCATGAGTGCAGTGCTGTTTGTAATTATCTTTTAGTCGCGTTGATAAAAATGACAACAATTTCAATTTTCTCCATAGCCAAGGGGGTGTCTTTATTAAGCGCATCATTGACACATTAATTACTGAGTTTAAGAATCCGAATAAAAACAGAACAGTAGACTTTTTTGCTTTATGTCTGCATATATAAAGTGTGCCCGTGTGTTTGAATTCATCCGAGGATCATTAGAGACAGCCCAAAGTCTCGCGACTTATCGTGACCATGCGGGATTAAGAAGAGATCTCTCAAAACTTGTATCGAACATGTATCGCTAAGATATATCGCTCAGTGTGAAAATGGCTCACGTGTAGATACAGATCTATGTAAGAGTAAACCACCGACAATTAACTATTTTGCTTAATATCACCAATGCACAAACAATTCTTTCTGACGTCCCTTACAGTTTCTTTAACCGTTTTATATTTAAATTGCAATAATACCGTATGATGTCACCTAATACAGATACATGTAATATTATATTATATTATATTATATTATTCCTTTTTTACACTTGATAAAATGAACGTCCCTCCCTGTATACAGTGCATATATGTATATATTCATGATTATTCACTGGGTTCTAGAACATATCCAATTCGAATTCGATCAGGAGTCTGTATTTTCAGCTTGGAAAGACTATTGAAGTTGGTTTAAAATCCTTACGTCTGTGTGGACACGCATTTCCGTCTCTATGTTTCCCATTCCTTATTTCATATATTACCACATCGATATTTATATATGGGCACGTGCTTAGCTCTGCACATATAACAGTGAGAAACAGTAAGAAAAATGGTTTATTTAAAATGTGGAGTCTTTTTGAACAGTCCTTGTCAAGAAAGCGTGGATAATTAAAGGCATTTCAGTTGTCTTTTCGGTTGGATTCAGGAAATGTCCGCTCGGTCTATGGGTTACTTCTGATCGTGAACGGTTTCGAAGCACCAGCTCCAATCTGTACAAAAAAGAAAGAGTTGTTGTTATGTATTTTACGCCACAGACACATACAAACACACTCACACACACACATACAGTATACAGTATACAGTAGGGCACCCTTACCTTTAGTACATTTATACATGTATATCAAAATAAACAAACAAACAAACAAACAAACAAACCAATAAATAAATAAATAAATAAATAAATAAATAAATAAAGGCAGACTGAAAATGTCAAAAAAGAAGTATATGTCTACAATTTCTAAGAATGTATACTCAATCTGGGGGGGGGGGGGAGTTGTATTCGTCAAGGAGACGCAGAGGGTGGGAACTATTGTACTAGTAGCGCCGTTATCTACAGAGTTACTTACCCCGTCACCGGGACTGGGGGTCACAACCAGTTTTGCAGGGGCCGGTTCCACGATGGCATCACCGTTAGGGGGCTGAAATATCCAATGCGGTGAAACGATTGTTAATTCATTTTATTCTTATTTACAAAGGTACGCCACCCGCTTAATATTTCTCCAATCGTGATTTCATTATCAACATGATTCGTTTAACAAGTGTGAAATATTGCTCTTTATCCCGGCAAATTAAAAGACTGGAAAATAGAATGCATCGGATTGTGCCGAATGGTGTAACGAAACTGGGGGTCCGTGTAACAAAAAGTCCGCCCTCCATTTAGTGAGTCAAAATCTAGGGCGATCGAGGCTCACCTGTACAAGTAAATGGGGAACTATCATGGGGAACTCTCTGTCAGGTTACACCAGTAAATGTTCCAATTTGGTAATTATGGAAATGTCTATTTACCACCGGATCCCTAGCGTAGGGCCCGTAAGCAGCAGGGTAACAGAATGCCGGACTGTAGCCGCCGTCGTTGCGGGTTATTTTTATGATTGGACACTTCTTTAGCGGGCAGGAGAAATCGTCGCCGTCCAGGCGTTTCATTTTGCCTTCGAAGTAAAGAAACAAAAGACTGAAATGGAAAAAAAGGCACGTGCAGTGACTGTGCAAGCAAGGAAACCACAAGACTTGTCTAAATAAGGTTTTTCATGCGAGAGTATCTCTCTCTCTCTCGTGTCCTTGTGTCAATGTTACGCGCCTTACTTTGGCAACAAACGTTCAGCTTCAACCAACATAATATAACTCTTTATCATTGTTAAATATTTTTCATTTATTTATTTATTTATTTTTGCTTGCCAGTTTGTTCGTTTGTTTTTGTTTATTCATTCATTCATTATTTATTTATCCAGTCATACATTCATTCATTTATCTAATCATCTATTCATTTATGTATTCATTTATCTTGTTATCCATACAATACCCGGTACTGGAGTCCCAGTAAGCTACGAGGTGACTGGAGGCGGCTTTAGTCTCAAAATCCTCAATGCTGCTCGCAAAAGTAAAGTCACTCCCAAAGTACTTCTTCTGGATGGTAAACGAGGAAGAGTTTTTAGGGAAACAGATCCCAATTCTCACACGAAAATGCCTGTAAAGAGATTTATTTGTTAAGTCCGGTTTTCAACTAGATACTATTTGTACTACTACTACTACTACTACTACATTGTACTACTACTACTACTACACGTACTTCTACAATGTAATGCTACTACTACAAATAATAATAATAATAGTAATAATTACATGTTTTTGTTTTCGAGTGAATACATCCAGGAGTAAAATAAAACAATGCAAATTATTGAAGACGTACAAAGAACGCGAGATAGGTTGATATCAAACTTTTAGTAAAATAGATGCAAAAGCAAAGTGCAGGAACCATTCCAATAAACCTATTGCACTAGTAGGATCGATCTATCTCCGAGGGGATTTTCGCTAAATTGCCTTCAGTTCGAAGTTAGATCGATCCCTCTAGTACGATAGGTTTATGGGAACCCAGTTAAAGACAGTGCCTTACCTTTCGAACCCATGCAACCTGAACTCCAAATAATCCGGAGATGGTCCCACAAAGTGCATGGTGTAACTGTAGCCGTTGATGACCAGGGGCCCGATTTTCTTGGCGCCGTCAAAGTACTCCAGGTGCTTGTGAAAGTCGTCCCGCACCATGTACATATTTTCTTTGAGTTTAACGTCCGCCTGTGAGCTTTTGACGAGCCGAATCTGAAAATGTCAAGTCAAATTGTTGGCATCATAGCGGAGTCAAGGTAATAAAGGGAAGATAAAGAAAGAAAAACATTGCGTCTTCTGCAGCAAATACAATGTAACGCTATGTTTAATCATTGGCATGTGCATGCGTGCGTGTATCAAAAGTGAACAAGCGTGTGTGTGTTTGTGTGTTTTCATTTGCGTGCGTGCAGTTTATCTAGTGTGTGTGTGTGGAAGGTTAACTGTCTGTATTGTTTGCGTGTACCTGCGTGTGTGCGTGTGTGTGTGTGTGTGTGTGTGTGCGTGCGTGTACCTTGGCCATACGGTCCGGGCATACTGCCAAGTTCCAATCCGTCTTGTTATAGCAGTTTTGGGTGTTCACAAACTGCCTTGGTTTGACGACAAACACGTCCGTCCTGCCGGTGACACTGCCGTCAAAGTCCCTCGTCGCCTTATGTCTGTCGCCCGCATCGCCGCCAAACCCATCGGCCTCGTCGCCGTCAAGCATTCGATTCCCGTCCTGACATATAGGAAACACCAGATAAGGAGAGTTGGGGGGGGGGGGAGGGGGGTTAAACCCTCTCTCACCGACCTCTCAATACCGGCGAATCAAAGATTTTATTTGCTTTGCTTTGTTTTACTTTACTTTTAGCTCTCTTTGCAAGGTTCATCTAACTCCCACAAAGCAGGGCGATCTCAAAGCATTAGTTTACGAGAAACATTGTATGCCTTAGATAAAATTAAAAGTCATTTGTGACCAAATGCAGTTATTATTTACGACAATTTTACTTTTACCGTATTATTTAAATTTATCTATAAATATCTTATTATTTTCACACACACACACACACACATATATATAACAAAACCATTACCGATCCGCCTCTGAACGCAAACTTGGCTGACCGGACTCCGTTGGTGGGAGATGTGAACCCTGTATCTCTTCTCTTAAAGCCAATGGCACCAGCCAGGCGATACTGATCATTCTTAAATCCTGCGAACCAGTTGTTCTCGAAGTATACCGCGTGATCGTAAAACAGAGCCCCTGTCACGGGCGTGTTTCTGAAAAAAGTTATACACTGTTAAGGCACTGTCACATTCAGCGCAAAGCAATAATATAACGTATGAGAAAAAAGTCCCTACGCAGACAAACGCAAGGGGGTTCTTGAGACTTACACTGTACGTCGTATACTATGTCTTAAGTACGCAGGCAAACGTTGATGAACGTCCGCACACAGAGAGAGAGATAAAATGTATTGAGTATGTCATGTTCGAAAACATTTTCACATGTTGCTTTATATGTTCCATTTTCATACGCAGGAAAAGAAAAGGGTTCGTACGCCTTAAGTTGTGCATATAATAGATTTTAAGGCTCTGTCACGCCTGGCGTAAATAGGTACTGCACGTAAGATTAACACGCCTCCCCTTGTTTTGTTTCCAACGTACTCGTATAATCAGATGCTTTTCTGCTTTCTTCTCAAAGCCAGGAGGACGCGTGTTAATTAGTTAACCTGATCGCATTCAGCAGGAACTCCCGCGGAGTTGGATCAATCTACATAGAACGATAGTTTCATTGGGAAAGTGCCCTACGATTTTCATCCCAGTCATCTTCAGTGCACTTACAACACATCCATTTCGAAAAAGTTCTGTCGTTATTGGAACCTACTTGAGACAAAACTACTCGATACAAATACTGATAATAAATATAATTAGCAATGAGTTCGGACAGTCGACTCTGAAAAACCACCTTTGAAATAACCGGCTGTAGACCGCTTTGAGACGAATCAATTTATAATGAATAATGGATTTCGGACTACATTGTATCTCAGGTACATCCCCATACCTCGTGAATGTCCAGCCAGCTAGACATAAAAAACAAAACCTCCTCGATAGAGGCTACATGGTAATTGAAACATCTATAAATCACGATTCATCATAAATCACCGTAGAGATCTTGTATACACTGATACAAAAAAATAATTAATTTAGATTCAAATGCTCCTAAAAAGATCTACGCCCTGTACAATGTCCTAGGCTAGAGGCAGGAGGCCGAGAGCTTGAACATTATACCAAACACAGTAGATCTATATGGATGCATACAGCTATAGCTGATTCACTAGTATCTTATGTCATCCACTGATAAATAGAAAAACATTACATCAGTATTGAATATATCAATACAGGTACATTGAACAGTCAATAAAAACTCACATCCGTTGATCTGGCGTAGACCTTGGCAGGCGAATATATCTTCTGGTATTTCTGTCTAGAATCACAGCCGGTTCTCCGGTGTTGGCTGACTGGCCGACGAAAACACTGTCTCTCACATACTGTGGATAGGCTCCAGCTCTGAGGTGTACAAATAAACAGAGAACATGTAGATTGAATCTCTAGCATATTTCTCGAGCACTGATTCTCACTACTGATGAATTAAGTTATTAATTATGTAATGGGCCACCGTTAAAATATTATCGAATTTTATGTGAGCCCATGTAACATATCCGGTCATATCCTGAAAATTTCTGAAATCCGCCCTTCACTTTTTGTGTTAGCTAACAAACTAATAAAAAATAGGTCTGACCTTCTTTTAGAAGGTTTAGTATATTTTATAAATTATTAACCAATTCATTAATACCTTATTCCATAAGACTGATAAACAAAAAATTCTTAACGACAAACAAATACAGATAGAGAGGTTAAACATGTAGTTGGATATTCACTTACAAGGCAAATGTCATGCCGCGTAGACTATCAGAGAAGCTGAAAAATGGGACAATATAGATCAAGATACATTTTCTCTTAGTTCACGCACCTTGTTGAAATCACAGATGTAATGGTGTTGAAATATTTCCTCATTTAACCAGAGTTTAGGTACATGTATGATAAAACAAGACATTCGTGAAGCGAAAAGTTTTTGTTTTTTCTAAAAAGTATTTGCGACTTTACTTAACACAATGGTAAGTCTCCTTTTCATAGCACCTATTATTATTATTATTATTATTATTATTATTATTAAATCATGACACTCACGAGCACTGTGACATTCTCATAGGAGAACCACGGACCCAGGCATTCTGGATTTTGTTTTTGTAGCCGGTAAAACGAGAAAGCACCACCTCATACGGAATCACGGTGTTATTTTCTAGAACTATCTCTGGCATGTAAGCGTTCCCTGTAGCAATGACCTCTCCCGCCTGTCCCAGAATATTATCCATCCAAAGACCTGCCTGTAGAAGAGAATGAAAGGATTGTGGTGAAAAAAATGGGTAATTCATTTACTCAGAGAATTTTACAAGAAGATAAACACGCAGGGGTGAAGCCAGAGGAGGGAAGAGCGTAATCACGTGTGTCCCTCCCCCCCCCCCCATCTCCCCCTCCTCTCCCCAAAGGAAAAAGTATAACAGGCAAAACAAGGCAAACCCCATTATTTTTCCATTGAACTTCATAGTTATTAATAAACTCAAAGACGGGTTTATATATCGTAAATTTTTGGATAGGGTTTACCTTGATGACATATGGAAATTTTTGAATCTGAAATCAGAAATTCCCAGTGATTTTTAACAATAACTGGACATAGATGTAGCGTGCATTTTATGCTGAGAGAAAAAGAAAAACTTGATCACTGCCGTAAAGCCAGTTTCCTTTTTATTTCTTTTTTTTACGTGTACGTAAACCATTCCCGTACACGCTGCACCCCCTCCTTCTCTCTCCCCCCCCCCCCCCCCCCCACACACACACAAGTACAACGTATTTTAATGGCCCTAAAACCACGAAAGGTAGTTAAAGATACTCACTAATGCGTTGGAATGGGCCACATTGTTTTCAAACTGTAGTAAAGGAGTCCTGGCGGCCTCCCCGAGAGCCATCAAACCCTTGCCCTGAGACATCCCTCTGGGTTCCAAGGGAAACACGTACATAAAGCCACGCCCCTAAAAGTGATGGACATGTGTGTGTTAATGCTGAAATGTGGGAATGAACATATGAAACCACGCCCCTAAAAGTGATGGACATGTGTTAATTTATGCTGAAATGTTGGGGTAAATATATAAACCCACGCCCTTTTGTGATTTAATGTTGAAATGTGGGGGTAAATGTATAAAGCTTCGCACCTTAAAGTGAGAAACGGACAAATTAATGTTGAAATGTGAGGGCAAACATATTGCCACGTCCTTTAAAGTGAGGAACATTTGTGAATTAATGTTGAAGTGACGGATTAAAAACATAAAGCCGTAGTAGTGCATATGTAGTATTAGTATTAGCAGAAATGGTTAAGTAGTGGATGTGGTAGTTGTATGATAATTATTATGAAGTTAAGAAAGTAATAGACGGGCGTCGAATTACGTAACGACCAAGCATATCTTACAACAGGAGTATATACAGCTAGTAAAATGTATGGGGGTTGCTGGAAATTATGTATAAAAAATTGAAGTTAAAAAAAGAAGAAGAAAAAAACGAAATGTTTACGATAGGTTTCTTACTTCTGATCCTGCGGCAACGTTGTTTCTGCAATACACCAGTGGATTGGTAAACCAGAAAGACGCCGGTCTGGAAAAATCAACAAAGGCTTGTTACGAGATTTTTGTCTATTTTGGTTGAAATTAATAACCTCCCCATTCGGTGAAATAATGTAACAATTTGTAAATGAGGAACGCCATATTTGTTGTCATTTTTGATGTCTGAATCGGGCGATCAAAGAGGCGAGAAATTTGAAATTAAGCCGTTAAATATAACAATGAGACAAAATAAATATTATATATAACATTTGATTTCATCGTATTCCATTTACGGAAAATGATAAACTACCAGTGTCTGGCCGATAATAACCAGCACGTGTCTGGGAGACTGTCATTTACGTGGAATAATGATAATAAGTCTATAGATCTCGAATTTCAGTGCTGATGGTTATATGATAAGCTATTTGATAAGAATATTGAAATGACTGTAGAAGTGCACTATACGCGTTTGAAAAAAATTCCAAAGTTCAGGACGTTGCCTATGCCCTGTTGATTTCGTTCGTTGATTTCGACATGTAAAGCCTCGGTCACAACCGGCCGTACGGGCTCTTACGGGCTGTTTGCGTCCAAATTTTGCGCAGAATCTCACGTCCCACGCAAGTCCTTACGAAATTTCGAGTTCGCAGACAGCCCGTAAGAACGTACCTGTACGGAGGATGTTGGACATGTCCAAGAAATTCTACGAATAGCCTGCGAACAGCGAGGCCGCAAGCGCAACTTGCTTCCTCGCACAGAGTTAGTAAAAGAGACGCACGTTGTGCAAGACGCACGTTGCAAGCAATGAAGGAGCAAGTCTCCTTTGCGTGTTGAGTAAGTGTGAAGCAAAACTGACGCAAAAGGGCACTACTTTCGCCGTGCGTTGCATTCCCTTCGTAAGTGGTGAGTGTGTGCCAGGTACACAGGAAGCAAGACATACTCAAGAAATGTGTACAATTTTTACGACCATCGTTCCTTGCATTTAGCGTCCCTGCCTGAAAGGACATCTCATGTGACCCTTGCGACTCGCAAGGCAGACTTTCCATTACCTCTACGACCTCTACGGCCTCCGCAACACCCAAAAATCGCAGGGGACATACGATCCTGAAATTCGTGCGTCCGGTTGTGACCGAGGCTTTAGCTGCCTAAAGTGCTGCCATTATTATATGTGCAACTCACCTCATATCAGACGGAAGGAGAGAACCTCTCAGAGTCCCAAGGACAAGGTTTCCACCAAATTCATTGTATTTCTCTCCGCCATCCTCCAGGAAGAAACAATGGCCAAAGTGGAGGTACGCGACGTTGTCAGTTACCTACATCAAACATAGACATTGAATACGATAATTGCTGAACAACTATAACCAAAATGATAATGCAAATATACACGCCACCTTTCTTCCAAACCAAAGCCTCGTTTGCACTGGCATAATGTTTTGCGTCTTCACAACTGGAATCGAGGGTTAGGGAATTACATACATGTAGCAATGCACGCAGTTATCGGCGTTTGCTGTTCCTTTTTTATATGTGGGGGGGGGGGGGGGGGGGGGAGTCTGATGAAATACAAATAGACGGTCATTTCATGGAATTATTTAAGTGCAATTCTCTGCTCTTTTGCTATTCAGTGTTTCAAATATTCCCATTCTTTGATTTCCAAAAGCAATATATCATTAATTTTTTTATGATACATTGTAAAAATGAAAGTGACGTTGGCGAGAGTCACGTTGTAATCGTAAATCACGTGCAGTAACTATGCCTTTGACGTTCTAATATATTTCTATATTTTTATTCATTCATTTGTTTGTTCATTCCTTTATCTGTTTATCTACAAGTTATTGTATGTTATCGATTGATATTTTTTTTCAGAAGAGCCGTAGCTGATGTCAAATCTCGAAATTCTACTAATTTAGCATATTTTGTCCTTAATTCCATTCCAGGGCACATTATTGTCGTACCTGTACACATACATCTTTCAAGTATGATTTTTAAGATAATCCTCTCACCTTGACACCGCTGGTTTGATGGGTCGTCAAGCACCTGGAAAAGGTGTGGTGGATTGAATTCTGTGCCACTATGGCGTCAGCATTGTTTCCTCTCAAGTCCATGGCCATGTGAAAGTGAATCGGGTAAGAACCTAAAAAGGAAAGAGAGCTACTGCAGAGACTTAGCGGTGCGTTAGTGTATGTGTGTGTGTTTGTGTGTGTGTGTGTGTGTGTGTGTGTGTGTGCGCGCGCGCGCGTTAAGTGTGTGTGCTTGCTTCACTGTTTGTGGGGTGAATGGGTTGTGTGTGAGCGAGAGTGCTTTTATTTATCTAAAAAACAAACATCCCATACATATCTGAGCTTATTCCAAGAAATTTCTCGTAGACTGTAGTACTTGGCAATAATGCGATCAAAATCTATAAAAAATTTGAAAATAGAGAAACGAAAAGTTTGACTTACCTTCAACGCTCTGTTGTCCCAGATGAACAAATTCGACCCCTTGAACATGAAACGCTTTGAAGCCATGTACTACCTATGTGACGAAGTAAATAAGTCATTTGGTGAAGAATATGTGCGACCAGATATAAGAAATGTATCATCATCACGGTTTTTGTATTGGTTGTGTTATAAAGTGTGAGACTGCGTGTTGTGGAGAGGCAAGCCTTACATATGTGTCGCGTATGACGTACACTACCTACATTCATTACAGTGCTGTAAGATAGTTACCAGAAATAAACTTTAAAATGCTGAAGGGGAAACGTTACAGCTAAGAAAAAAGGAGGACAGAAATTTCAGAATAAATCAATTATCAAACATGTATTTGACAATACTGTCAGGATTTAGGTGTGATTTGAAACGTCATGGATTTTTTTGTACATCCGCGTCACGAAATAGCGCCAAAAAAGCGGCGCGATGAAAAATGCGTACGTCTGAAATTAATAAACTTTGCGAAAAAACTACAGTGAATTGACTTTCCATATTTTAGAGACTAAACGACGAGTTATCCGTCTATTGAAAAACTGTAAGCTTTTGTCAATGCACTGTACAGAGTTACAGTTATTTTTCTCCGAATCCAGAAAACTGAAAATTTTACGTGTCCGAAAATGCTTTTGTATAGCGAGGGACTATATTGCGAGGAAATTGTTTCCAAGTACGAAATTGGCTTAAAATTAATAAAATGGTCGAATATATATCCAGGTTTTCGATTTTGAAGGGAATTTCCCGCACACTCTCTGGTTAAGAAGTCTCGATAGAAAATCTGAAAAGTTGTGAAAAAACAGAGCAAAATTTCTCCCCTGAGGCACCTCCGATAAGAGTGCACATCTCATTCATTTCCCGAACTTAAAATTACGTTTATTCATCCAAAAAAGTTTGTGACTAACCTCAATTTTCACGCAAAGCAATGATGTTCCATAACTTGCTACGACAGCATTTTTTTGACCTTGAACTGTGGAAGTTCAAAAAAGTCATGTGATACAAATCATGTGACGCGCAGATTTGGGTGCTAAAATGCACTTTTATAGACCCATATTAAGTCAAATATAAATTTAAGAAACAGAATAAACATTCCTTTTATCAAAGACCAAAAACTTAATACAAATTTAGTAAATTTACCGAAATCCCGCCCACTAAACGAGAGGTAAACTGAGGTGCTTTCCAACGAAACCCCACTATTTACCACGAGGCAGAGACAGGTGAAGTAGGTTGTGCGGCAAGTTATGATTTTTATCCTTGCTGAAATATGGAACCCACATATTTATAGCATGTCAGAGACTCATTATCAGGTACGTATGCAAATTATTTAGATTGTAAAATATATATAAATGCTTTTTATTACGAGAAATGTACTAGTTTCGCTCCACTACAAACTGTAAATAATTAAACACATTTGTTATACATTGTATCTTGTAGATTTGTTGTTAAAATGTGCAACGTGTGACCGACGCAGGCTCATTCAGAGTAATCTAACTCCGACTACAGTTCAGTTTTAAGATTAACTTTTGATCTAGTATTATTTAGAATACTAATATTACATATAACGACATGTGCCTTAGTACGTACGTGTAGTGTAGCTGTATAACGTAGCATTGCGAGCACCTGTCATGTGAAGTAATGTGCAGTGCTTGACAGTTGTATATATTGATTGAATTATGAATACATCACCTTTTATTTGTAATAATTAGCAATAGGTCAGGGGAGTATTTGGCAAGATTTAACATTTCCCTTGTCTTTTTTTCAGGCTGATAAAAATTTAAAAACTTTCTAACATCGATGTAAGGAAAAAGATGTTTGGATATACATGCAGAATGGTAGAAGTATTTATGTAATATGAGCTTTTTTCATGATCAGTTAACACTCATTTTCAGTATAAAGATCCATTTGAAAGTGTAGGGTTTATTTTATAAATCATGGAAAATTTTAATATCCATGACTTGCTAGTACAGGTATGAAAATGAAAGTTGAGACATTTATACACCATACTCGCTTACTGTTGAAGTTGTAGATTTTTTACTAAAGTTAAAATGAAGTACATCTATTGGAGAATGTTATATGGTTCTAAGATCAACAGTGATAAAGGTTTAAAATATAATCCATTTATGTTTTCTGTATGAAAAAAGATAAAGCCAGTAATTATTATTTTATTATGTGAGTTCCTAGACTTCTGTTAGTTAATTACCACTTCGACATATCTTCCGTCCCTCGCTCATTGTTAGTCAATTTTTTAAATGTTAAATGGACCTATATATTGAACAGATTGTTTTTATTTTTAGTTGCATGGATATTGTAAATTCTGAATTTGTTCTGATTTTCTTTCCCAGATAAAAGAAGAACAGTTATTTCAGATATTACAGAATCTCTGCCAGGCTTTTAAGTGCCCTGAAAAGTGATCACAACGATATGCTGCATCATTATCATGCATTCCTATTAGTCATATTAAAAAAACTGTCACCAAGCCCTTAGTGAAAATTAGTATTCTTTGGCAGCACTTACATTTTTTGAAACATAAAAATTGAATTTTTAAAAAGAAATAATGACTTCGGTGGTATTTCTTTAAGATAATTGGATGGCAGTGTTGCAAACAAGTGTTATTATGGACACTTTTTTTCTAATTGGACTCCCAGGAGCCAGACTGATTTTCACATTCAAACAAGAATTTAAAAAGAAAAAAATGTCAGAATAGTAAAAGAGGTATTTTGAATATATTTACAGTCCACATCCATTTATATCCAGTATATAATGCCTGGTGTTCACATATACAGGTACAGCCCTTTTAGGAAGCAAGTTACATATTTCCATATTTTAATATCAGATATCAAATACAAGCATATGGAACTGTTTTGAATAAAGACATAAATTGTCCTTGGTGATCAGCATATTTTTCTCTTATTTTAAGTCTTAAAAGGATAGCTTATGTATTTTGAGATAATGCATTTGAAGACGGAACATGTATGAAAATTTCTTCAGCAAAAAATAAATAAAAAAATAGGAAAGTCATTAAGTTCAACCAAGTGCAATGAAAGTGAAAATTTTATATTAATTTTGGAAATATTTTTTGTTTTTATTTATGTATTTTTTACATTTTTACACACTTTGTATAACTAAATACTTTGTGTATTCTTACTAGCGACCATGCATATGGACTTCCTGTGCATGTATACTTGTACCATTGTTTTGAAAATAAAATTATATCCTGTTGTTTTTTTACCCTCTGTTTTTTATTGATTCTCCTGGAGTAAATGACAATTTCCCCCTTCTTACCAATAGTTACTGGGGTACTGAATCAGTTTTGACATTCAAAATTAGTCTGTATTGTAATTTTTTAATATATTTTAATATTTCAAAAGATTATTACAGAGTACAGCCATCATGTGATTGGATGGCAAGAACAGTTTCCAAATTAATTGTGAAAACCACCATTTTGGTTGTAAAATGGAATATATATTGTATTCCTATGGGTTCTTTACACTATTTATTCTTAAATGTGAATCTCATAAAAACAGTTGTTAACCCTTTAAAATATTCATTTAAGAAACGATGAATTTGTCTGTGCAAAATAAAGAAAAACAACTTTGTTTTATTTTAAACTTAAGTTTTGGACTCAGAAATGTTCTATTACCTACATAATTTCATAAGTAACATTGAAACATGCAAGGTACATGTACTGGTAGTAGGGCATAGAAAAAGAAGGTGCAACAATATTAAATTTACAAGTTAGATATAAAACTGACACGCATTGTTTGACTATCAATTGAAAACTGTAATAATATCCAAAATAACCGGTGATAATCGCCAAAATAAAGTACATCTACAAATGTAAACAAACGCCGAGTTGGGCCCGTCTTGGGTCATGGATGACGCAAAAACCTGGATTTTGCAAGAATTTTGGTACAAAAAATTCTGCAACATTTGTTTCCAAAGATGGATTTTAATAATTCTTTATACATACAACATTGATTAAAAGATACGTTATCTCTTATCCGGAATTTCCCGCACACTCTCTAGTTGAGGAATAGTGGCCAAAGTTACGATGTTGCCAAGGTCAAATTTTACCGCTCAGTGCGACTTTGACGAACGCAAGCTCGCTCTAAACTACATAATTTCAATAGAAGTGTACATGAATATGAAGTCTACATACCCAACAATCATAATATCGTATTAGACTTGTTAAGTATGCATTTATTTAGAGTAGGGATATAGCTATTCTTCGACCAAGTTTAAATTTTTACAAAATTTGAGCCCGACGTTACGTCCTGGCGCGAGAAAACGACGTTATATCACTCCGCATCGACAGTATGTGTCCTACTGTTTCAAAAATTAATAAACGTGACGGCACTTCAACGTCACAGTGTCGTCTCGACGCCATAATGACGTCACGATGACGACAGACGGACGTCATCGGCCTGCTTGACACTTACCATTATGTGCCCACCAAATGTGTCCAGAGAGAAAGCCTCACACTGGTTGTCGCCGTAGCAAGCGTCTGACATATCCCCCCGGACCACCACGTTTCTGGTAAGAACGGCCACCTCCGCCCTCATGTCCACGTTGTTCTCGATGACCCCCCAGTGAGTGTAGAACAATTCCCCTGGAACACAATTCGTTGGAATATAAACCAATTTACTTGACTCATTTTAGTATAGTGATACTGAGACACCGCACGGTGCACATCTTTGGTGATCAGTGTGACGTAATAGAGAGCCACCTCATGATAGAGAGTCTGCATGTTTCCTATTCATTTGCATAGGAAGCACTATATACCCTATATTTTGACCCATTTACATCGGGCTAACCCTAACCTGTATAACTGAATGGAAGGTGGACTCTCTATTAAACCAGCGTGTATCTACTACTGAACAGTAGTCCATTTTGTCCGTCCTATAACATGCTGCAAGGGGCACTGTTTGCAGGGCCCAAAGAATGCACCATGATGATTAATTGAGGTGGAATTTAAGGGGTTACCCCCCCCCCCCACACACACACACACACAACTTACTGTTCAACTTTATCTGGTTAGAGGCGCATGTGGGGCAGCTCACCAATATCGGTTCCTCTGTTTGAATCCAGGGGTAATCAGTAGAGGTTACAATTATTCTGTCTCCTAGGTAACGAAATAAGCATTATTGCAAGTCAATATAACACGTGTACAAATATACAAAAAACTGAACGTTTTGTTCATGTCCATATAGGGACGACGCTAGAAGAATCAATGCGAAGGCAATGAGGCAGTAATCTTCTCTTTCGCTTTGTTGTGTCTCCATGTCTTTCCCTAAAAATTTTACTTTTCATTAGAAATGCTGCCCAGTAAAAAATGGGCAACATTTCTAATGTCAAAGACTCTTATTAAGATGCTGAATAATAATAATAATAATAATAATAATAATAATAATAATAATAATAATAATAATAATAATGGCAGTAAGAAGAAGAAAAAGATGGAAAATATAGTAAAAATGAACAAGGATAATGCATGTTAAATCTAACAAATAACAAGAAAGCTTTCACATTAACAACAGCATCGTCTATCCTGACGTCAATCTGTGACGTCAATACCCACCCGGCTTCCACGAGGAGACGTCATCAATGACGTCAATAATAGGCTGAACGATTCTATCCAGCACGCGGAATCTGACGTAGTTAACGGCATCCTTGGGAGAATGGGGCAGCGTGATCCCACACTGTACCGTGTAAATGAACCCCTGGTACTCTAGTGTGACGGGCCAAGTCTCGGTGTAGATAAACCCTTTTTCATTGGTCAGTTCCTCTTGAGAAAGATTTGGTTGCCCTGCGAGCGAAAAATTTGCATTTATTTATTTATTTATTTATTCATTCATTTTATCTCATATTCATTTTATTTATTTATTTATTTATTTTTGTCAGATAGAAAAAAGACGCATAGGCCTTTGATAATAAATGATTGATACCCCCAAACTGCTTCTCTTTAATATACTGAGCATGTGCAAGATATCTTATACCTTGATTTGGGGCCAGATTTGTTAAAGGACAGTTTGATGGTCAAGCTTAGAAAACATGAGAGGGACAGTAATAAGCGTCCGTCATATATACAGTGTATATACATCAGTTCACAAACAAATTGTGGTTCACAAACAATCGCATTTACTTCAAAGTATTGTAATGTAGCGTCGAAACACATAAGACAAGATTTCATCTATCAATACACACGTGTTTGTGCATTTATTAAAATCTTTTATAACAAAAATGTAAAAAAAAAAAAAAAAAAAGCGTCACTTCTGGACACTACTTGAACATGAAGTACCTGTGACGGCTATCATAGCCCAGGCGTTTCCTTCCTGATACTCCCCCACGTGGACGGCCCCTATCTCCTCCAGGGCGTTAATAGCCAGGGTGTAGTCAATGTCTAGACTGGTGTCGAATAACGTGGCTCTGGACGCTAACATGATAACTTGACCGTCGTTCACGTCTGAAAAATGGCAAACATTTTCTGTAATATTTATTTCCGATCGTTCCTCTTCAATACTTTCTTTTTTCTATTCTTACTTATACGTTTATAAATTCATTTTTCGCTTTCCTTTTTTCTTTCATTTATTTCTTTTTTTTTTCTTATTTAAATCTATTTACCAGAAGAACAGAGGAGAACAGGTAATTTTACGGGTTTATTTTTTCTTTGTAATTTCTTTGTTTTTTCTTTCTTTAAATTATTGCTTATTTATTTATTTATTTGTTTATAATGGCTGCTGATCGAGTCACAGAACCAACATTAAAACATCTCCACGAAATATTCAAAAACTGGGAATGGGCACTTCTTGACCATGACGTAACTGCCAAACGTTCCAGGGTTTGCTAATGTATGCGCACAGTGTAACTACCTTTACAAAACAAACCAATATAACATAAATAATGTACAGTGGTCATAATGTTTTGACTATTGACAACGTACTGTAACTATCATAAGAAAACAAACCAACATAACATAAATAATGCACAGAGGTCTTAACGTATAATGCACTATTAGAAAGGCAATTTATAATTGTGAATCCGTTATGAGTGTTCACCTTTTTGTCGTTAGCATAGACGACTTATACTGGGTGGAGACTGAGAAACCACGTGGCAGAGAATCCGCCCTCTATGAGATTCATACAGGTTAGGGTTAGCCTGATGGAGTCGGCTAAAACCATGCAGGACGAGGTTTACCTGTATAAATTATTGCGGACCGAACCCTATATCACTGGAAACTCTCTTGTACAGATTCAATGCGTCAGACTAGAATGCACGGTCAGTGAGAGACCTTAAAATCTGTAACGACCCATTGGGCATACTGTAGAATTAACTGACTACATGTGTTCTTCAGTCGAGATAAAAAGGTACGCACTGTGGTAGGGTGTCCAGTACTTGGCTCAGTGACCCACGTGCCATCCCCTTAGCTTTGTAGGTAATGTCCTATTCCCCCACCCCAAACCCCTTAAAAGGGGGAGCAGCAAGTGGCACATGGGACTTACGAAGTACCTGTAGATACTCATCCTTGTACCCTACGGTACATATTATAGTAAAATGGAACTCTGTGTATACTGTCTTCGCTCGTCACAATTAACTGTGCCCCTCTCCCTTAAGCCCCCTTACACTGGACGGCGTCCTTTCTGCGTCCCGCCCCATATTACGGCCCCGTTTGAGAGTAAAAATAATAATTGGCCGATCACTGAGCAGTCAATTTGCAACCAAATTGATGTTTGTGTCTCTTTTCTTCGACCACAGCGATGCCAGTTTTCTTGGTCGCACAAAGGACGCAGAAGGGACACCGTCCAGTGTAAATTCCCGTAGGCCTACTACATGTAGTTAAAAACTTGTGTAAGTGAGTCAGAAAAGAATTTCATCAGCTGTGCCTATGCTATACCGAGTAAGAATAAAATTGTGAATTTTTTCTTCAATATTAGCTGTAAATTGAAGTAAAATTATTAATTCATTCTAAGTACAAGTAACGAATCTAGTTAATGAATATGCGGGTCGATACAACTTGTATAATTGCATTTATCTGCGCAGTTTGTACTTAATATTGGACACATTTCATTGTGTTAAAATATACAGCAGAAGGGTTGAAACCATGGAAAATTAAAACAAAGACATATGCTGTCGTATATAAGTCTGAGCAGAAGTGTTTGATTAGAGTAATCTCGTTAGAAAACTATTAAATATTAAAACTGAATCATATTTCATTACGTACACACATGAAGTGAGTGTTTGCAAATTTAGGTGGAATTATTTTAATGACATAACATCACTTGAAGGACATAAGTGAGTCGCATACAATAGCTCCTATGAATTTTTTAAAACGGTAACATGAAACCAATTTTCTTTCGTCTTGTCGCACAAGGACTGGAAATCTGTTCGATCCCTCATTTTATGCATTTCTCATTATCCATCTGTTTCATTGACACGTCTTTGACACGTGACGTAGGTGTAAGTGACAAGACGTCAGTAATTGGTAGCCAGGTACATTTAATAAAGTGACAATTACGCAGCTGCGGAAAATAGAGCATGTAGCAAGTGCTAGAGAGGTTTCTGGGGAGCATTCTGCAGTGAAAAACGAAGGGTGCATTCCCAGTGACACTATCGGTCTAGGCAGATCGACCCAATTCCGCAGGGATTCTCGATGAATGCATTTACGTAAACTGATAGCAACCTCTCAGTGGCGCCATCTCTTGGAATACGCCCAGGTCACGTGACCTACACGTCTCAAATTAGATACGCCCCTGAAAATGCTTGTATGCTTTAAGATATTCAAGAGGGAGAGATGGTACACAATAACAGCTGATTTTCCAAACATCACAACAAGACCTTTCTTCCGAACATTCCAAATGGTGTCTTATCTTTCTCTACTGTGTTTCCATGGTCGCATTCACAACCGAAGTTCATGCACGGACTAACAGAAATGACCTACCCACTTGGAAGCTTGCCTCAAGATCCCCTCGGAGAATCTTTTGGTTGTCTATTATGTAAGACGCCATTCCCACAGATTTTACATCGATCTATCCCCGTGGGGAGTCTCACTAGATTACTGTCACCTTAGCCGGCTTAAACGTCTGTCCAGCCTACTAAAAGCTGTAAGGGAGGAAATAAACTTCCATGCGCGGTCGGCAGACAGCAATTTAGCGTGAACCCTCAGGGTGTTAGGTCGATCTAGTTGGATCGATCTAAATCTCTGGGAATGCGCTCTTAGAGGATTATGCAGAAAGTTTTCAAGTGGGTCGGCCATATCTGATTCGCAGATCTGTTAGTCCGAGGAGCAACGAATTGTGAAATGCGCTCCATCCAACAAGGAGTAACAAAAACAAACAAAAAAAAAAAAAATCTGAGGTTTTGCAAAGGGCGAACTAGATAATTTTGTACAGAACCCGTCCTGAAAGGATTAATCAGTTAAAATGGTAAGAATTATAAAANCAAAAACAAACAAAAAAAAAAAAAATCTGAGGTTTTGCAAAGGGCGAACTAGATAATTTTGTACAGAACCCGTCCTGAAAGGATTAATCAGTTCACATGGTAAGAATTATCAAACATGCCATAACCGCAATGATAATCTCAATTGACAACATATACATGTACATGTATTATAATATAATATAATACATCATGTGGATATAAGATATAATAATTAACAATATCCTGAATCCAAAATATCCCGCAGGAAGAATTGAGATACAGAGACAAACAACACTTACTTAAAGATCTTAGAAAGTTGGGCAGTTTTTTCTCCATATGTCTCCTCCTGTTGTAACGGAAGTGCCGGAAATCTACGGGAGTGCCCGTGGCTGGGTCCATCACGTAGACATACAGGCCAGGAATACGAATGTGCCAGTTTACTTCCTGAAAATATTCCATGACAATACAACTTAAGACATGATCCAAAATGTTACCCCACCGCCAGTGGCGGATTTGAGGGGGGGGGGGGGGAGATTGAGGAAGTTGCAAGGAAACAGAGAGAACACAATAGGCACGTGATTTCACTCGTAACTTAGGAAGATCTCTCATTCTTTCCTCTCCCCTCCATCCCTCTCCACCCCCTCCCCAAAAATCATTAAAAAAGAAAAAAGAAGAAGACGAATGAAAATCGGTATACAGAGTGAAACTTAAACTAGATTAAAACCAGCAGCTCTTAATATACAGCCAAGAGAGAGAGAGAGAGAGAGAGAGAGAGCATGCCATTAAAAGACCCCGATGCACCTCACTAAATTGAACGCTTAAGATTCAAATTGCTTATCACTAGTCTTACTGTGAATCTTAAAAAAGTAACAAATAGGCAAAATTAAGAGGATTTGCAATAAAATAATTTAATGTTGCAGTACCACCCCCCTCCCCCCCCCCACCCCCACCTATTGATCCTCATCCTGGGCCCACTAGTGATATTATTACTAATTCCTTTCCTTAAAAGTACAAAATATCAACCATTTCTTGGTTTCTCAATTTTCTATATAAACACTAACGTGCATTGTGCATGTAGTTGTGGTATGTTTCATGAATAAATCAAAGGAATTCTGCAGCAACAGAATTTAAAATTGCGTTTCCATAACCTTATTGTTCTAGCAGGAACGCTCCATCTCAGCGGAGATTCTCGCTAAGGTGCAATCAGCTAAATTGTCTGGCACGCCCCCTCACAAAGCAACACGAAACGCACCACGGACCACAAAGTTCTTCCGACTTTACCCGTGTTCTTTAAGTTACGAGGGGGCGTGCCAGACATTTAAGCCCCATAAACTGAATGCAATTTAGCAAGAATCCCCAATGAGTTGAATCAATCCAGCTAGTGCGATAGGGTTATGGGAATGGTCCCTGAAAGTATATATCGACAGTTCCTAACAATTTCTGATTAATTAAAATGCAAAATGCTTGAAAGCCCTTTGGTAGATGATGAATATCTGTATAATAATTTAATTCAAATACAAGTAAACCTAAAGGAAGAATAACCAATAAGTACAACCTTCACGTGCTATCCCTGCAGGGCCCTAGCGATTAAATCTCTAAACCATTTAATTTAGCTTTAATTGCTAGGCCACTGCAGGGATGACGCGTGAGATAGGAGGAGAGACCACTGAGGGATTATGCGGCATTGCTTTCAAGTGGGGTCGGCCATATTTGACCCTCGGACAAGTTAGTTCAAGGATCATCTGTTGTGAATGCGACCATACTTACGTCATGGTCAAACACCAGCCCTGTTGAACTGTTCAATTTGTGGACAGTTCCGCTCAGCTTGGTCCAGCTAATCTTCTCCGCGCCATGCAGCTCAAGAGTCCCGTTGGCCTGGATGCCAATAAACTTCTGTCCAAAGCCCGCTTCGTCGGCAAACTCGTCTTTTTGCCCTTGAAAAAAAAAAAAAAACAGAAATACAGTTAGTGTCGATTACCAACGCTCTGCTCGGGCCAGTGGATTGCTGTTAGTATTAGTGGTTTTACCTGATAGCTGCTAAAATTTGAATGGACGGATGGGACTTGAGCGGTTGTCTTAGATTATGTTTCTATTATCTATAAATGTCACTTTCAATTCTTTACTTTTTGTTATGGGACTGGTGACTGATGTGATTTTGAACAGCAGTTTCTGGGGTCCTTGACCAGTCAGTTTGGACAAGTGGCGATTTTGAACAACAATTGTTTTGGCTAAATTTTCCATTACATTTAAACTTTACTTTGGCGGTAGCATTTTTAAGACGCACTATCATTTTTTTAAGTCTACTATTCAGAGTTGCCACTGAGCTTAAAGACTGGACATTAATTCATTTTGGAATACTGTTTACTGTTAACCCCCACTGTCATTATATCCTTTATCATATTCTATATCCTACATTAGATGCGGGAAAATGTTTAAATAGCTGACACATACTTTACGTTATTCACAAAACAAGTCACATTTCCAACCCTTTTTACTTTTCTTTCTTATTTTTCACAAATTTAAATTACAAAGCAGTATTTTTTAAATCTTGAGATCTATCTATTTGCTTAAAAACAGGACAAAATATCCCCATCTTACCAGTAAGCGTAATGATAGCTCTGCTGTTTTCAGGGTAGCGACACTGGGGCTCACTGCCTCCCACTATAATTGCCCCGCCGCCACTGATGTGTATACGACCAGACTGCAGCTCAAATCTCCCGCCAATGTCCCAGACCAGTTTCCCACCATCTTCGATATGCACTTCGGCCAGTTTGGGCGGGGACATGTTCAGAAGGATCCCCTCTGTTATTTCGACGACCTCGCCGGAGCCAGGAGTCTGTGGCAAATAAATATAAAGGTAAGAATGTTTTGAAGTGCACAGTGCTGTATGTGAGTTTAATTGTTTTCAGCGGACTTTATATGATAAATTTACCTAATCATAAGAGAAAAAAATGTTGCCTTATTTGTTTAAATTTGTGATAAAATGATAAAGATAAATATCATGCATATAATGATGTCCAGCTTATGAATAGCAATATTAAAAGTTATTCACGTTTTATTGTTTGTCTGTTTTTTCTTACCAAAAAAAAAACAAAAAAAAACAAAAAAAAAAAAAAAAAAAAGATCCTAACCAGACACGTGTCATTAAAAAAAGCCTATCTCACCCGTCCATTTCCCCAGGTTGCAGGATCACTCCAAGGTTTCAGCCCCGATTCCTGCCACGGGCACTGTGCACCGACAAAACACCAGCGAAGACACAATAAAAGAATTAAAACTGAGAATCTTTCCATGGAAGCAACACGATCGTGTGCCATATCGACAGCTTCCTTTTGCGATTTAGAGCTCGCTGTTAGAATACCGAGAATGATATAGCCCGTTGCTGCATAATTACTGAAGTTAATTGATTTTTTTTTCGGTAGTAATTTCGGATGCTTCTGTCGACAGCACTCTATGACGCATTATGGTATGCGGGCCTAATTGGCGCCTTAATCTTTCATGACACTTTTTTCGATGGCGTTAGGCAATGGATTTGGTAATTCAACTGAATTGCAGCCAATTTGTGAAGGTGTCCTTCACCGTTTTCCATTCCCTTTCTATATTTGTGTCTCTGACTAAGTCAATCACGAATTGTGTAATTATGAGTAACAAGGTCACGCAATGCTAAATTATAAACAGGGTAGGGCGGATGATTTTGCTTGTTAAACTATGTGCGGTGGTTCCATTCCGACGTAACACAAGTCATATAATATCAACAAACAATTTATGAACATATTATTTTTCATGTATATATGGATGAAAACGGCTGCCTAACTCACAGTTTCTTAACATATATACATGAATGTGAGTGCGTGTGCGTGTGCATGAGGCGTGTCCGTGTGAATTGTGTCCATGTGCTTAAATATGTATGCGCTTGAATGCGAGTATGCATGCACGAGTGCGTGTCTGCGTGTGTGTGTGTGTGTGTGTGTGTGTGCGCGCGCTGTGTGTGTTTTCAGTGTAGCGACACCCAAATAAGGACACAGTTCTATGCAGTGTAAACATTGCATTATCCCAAAATATGCTAGCCAATACCGCACAGTACATGTACAGTGTAGTGTTAATAAATTCCTTTCTATATGTTCTATGTGTAAAATATCACATTTTCCAAAAATAAAATAATAATCGATTTCGTCTCCGTGTGTTTGAACGAAAAAAATTATCTTGCAAACAAAGGCATACAAAATATTAATATTCTGATGATAAAGTAACTTCCCCCGCCCACCAACCCCCGCCCAACCCCCTTCAAATACCTTTACTGCGACCCTGTCAGCGGTTTTTAATATGAACCCCATCACGTCAGGTCGCTTAGACTTCAGTCATAGAACTCCACGCGTAGAATCTGAATAGATAACTTAAATATTTAAAAACAATTTTAAGAAAATTATGATACCAGTGCGGTTGGTTAAATGGGGCGTTATGATACCTCAAGCCAATAAGAAGGGAGTCTTAATCTCGTTTATGGATTAACTAAAGAGGACCTGCTCTTTAAGTACAATAAACGGTCAGCTGAAGAAGTTGGACTCGCTGAAGTGATCTGGCCATCTTCACGTCAATCCGTCGGGAAGAGCTGGGGAAAAGAAGTTGACAGACTGGCCCAGCTAAGAACACGGTTAGGTGAGTTAAAGGTCATCCATTCTATCATCATTTTCACAAGTCTTCAAACCTTACGCTAGGGAGAGAAGGAAAATGACCTCTGTGCGCTTTTGAAAAATAATAAAAATGCTGATCCAAATGGCTGTGAAAGGTCATTTTTTTAGCCTTACGGCTTATACAACTCCGAAGGGGGTGGGGGTAGTGTTTGGAAAAAGTCTACTCTTTGTAGACTTGCGAAAAAGATGATAAAAATGGAAGTTCCTTACTTTCATAGAAAAATTTAACTGTTTATTAAAAGTCGCGTTTGGTGATGTCTGTGTGTTGTAATGAGCTGATAGGACTTAACTGAACACATGGGTTTGTCAAAGATAATTAAAAACATCTTAATTATATATACACATAATTACACCCTCTTACATTTAGAATGCATATTGATGATTCTTATATTGTTAAGATGTGAAGGTCGTTAAGCTGCTGAACATTTTTGCTCGGTTTTTAATTTAAATATCGAAGTCCTGTCGACATGTTAAAGCATGTCGTCCGAAGGTTTTTCTAAATCAAGAAATGGTTGACGTTCTCTGTGACGCGAACACATTTACAACTCGCACACAGCAAAAGTCATTAGCAGAACATAACAGAAATACAATACGGGACCCATTCTGTTCTCACAGAAACCACGATGAAAAGAAATCCATTTATAACGAGAAAATTAATATTTCACAAATACATCAAAGCGTGAGTTAAACGGTCGTTAAACCCAAGCTGCTACGATTCTTAAGTCTGCGTAAATGACACTTAACGGCTTGCTGTTAATGGCCGAATATGATGAACTATTTTCGGGTTTACATTTTGTGCAAATCATTTTTTTCAAAGAACCATACATTGGGCTGTAGTGGCAGACGCAGTTAACGTACAATAAAAAGTGCTGGTTTGTGAAAGAAAAACGTTACAGGAAAATAACTATATGTATATGGTAGCGGCGGCTTTTCTGTTGCCTTTATATTACTTTTACACCTGACTGAGCTGAAAGCAGCATTGATGAATAATGATGATAATACATAGATTATATAAGCACCATAAATTTATAAATAATACAAGCTTCTGGCGCATACTAGGACGGAGGGGGACGGGTGAGAGGGGGGGGGGTAAAATGCCAGATCATTATTTTCCATATGATGATTCATCACAGTATCCTTTCTCATATAGGCTAATCATGAGACGACCGTTTAATAATTTGGTAAGCTTCACAAATAAATATATAGTTTTTTATTTTATTTATTTAGTTAGTTTATGCGAATAAGTTTTAATATTTTTTGTATAATCCGTGCAAATTTAGAAACGACGCCATGCATTTGTAAATCTACATATTTAGTCATTACTACCTCCCCCGTTCAGAGTAACACCGCTAAATTATATTAATAAGTAAATCTGAGCTTTGTTTGAAAGAAATCATATGCACTGATCCCCCCCCCCTCCCGCTCTCTTTCGCACATCTTTGTAGAAAATAAAAGCACATTGGATGTACATGAGGTCGCGACTCGATAAGGTCGAACATTTAGGTTTACTGCTACAATGAACGTTGCCAGGAGCAACGAAGGAATGTCAGAATGTTTTGAGAAAATGACCACTGTTTGTCTCACATCTCGTTGACTCTGGTGTTAACAATAAGATATACATCCAGGCAATGGCTACATGTACAGCTGTATAAGTCCCGTTTATCACCGATTATTAGAACACATTATCAGTAAAGATATACAGTGCTGTACTAGTGGGGGTGTCTCAATAATCCGAAGGTTCATTGGTCTGAAGGTTCACTGGTCCGAAAAATCGTGTGTACGCGACTCAGATGAACTTTACTTCATTGCCGGTACATCATACACTTCATACATGCATTAATTCAGAGAATCGAACATTCGGACCAATGAATCTTCGGAATATTAAATTGCTACGGCTACTAGTATAACCTATGTATATATCTCCCGAGTCAATTAGACAGTCATGCTTTCCTCTCATTTTTAGAAGTGAATATATCGATATAAGAAGATATTTTATTTTAAAAAGGGGTGCATTGGTTTAGAGCTTTGAACTGAAAAAGATATATTAGTGCATTTGTATAAATAATTGGCACGAAAATGGCTCCGGGACGGACTCAAACGCACATACAGTGTACCTTTCATTTCAATGTTGTACCATGCAAGAGATCTGAATAAGAAAAATAATGGGTATGCACGATAATCATACCTAAAAATGTGACTTTGGGACATTTTCGCACGCATATTCGAAATATTATTCCATTTTAAAGATGAGAATTGTTTACCGTGCAGCATTTCCTTAAATTTGTCTTGCACTGAATTCACTTTTTTTTTTTTTGACAGAACCATGCTGAGTATACAGATACAAGTGATCCTGTCAATTGGCGTGTATTGGGCCGGTGCCACACTGCCCCCTATCGACGTGAGCAGTTTTCCGCCTGGACTGGACATCGGTTTGTTAGAAAGTGGGTTGATAATCACAATTGGTGCAACAAAATAAAACTCAAAAATCCTCAACTTTGATACAATTAAAGACCACTTTTTCTTTTGGTCTCTAATTCAATCTTGCACACCCGTAACCGTACCGGTTTCAAATTGCATTAAACCTCAACCATGCTCTGTTCAAATATAGCCAAAAATTTATCGTTTTGGTCACTGCACAAATTCTCTTTTTACTTTGTCAATCTTGTAAACCCCTTGCGTTCTTCAACTTTAGGCAAAATTCATAACCAAGTGCTATAGCAGATCAGCACAAAAGTTCTAAAACAATTTGAAAGAATAAAGAGGTAGGCCTATACTGATTGAGCTTGTAGTAGCAGGCCTACAGTTACATGGTAACTATCAGATTGTGAAGGTTCCTTCCAACTTGACGATCCTCGAAGGACTTTTTTTCTTTCAGGCTGTCAGCTCGACTTGTGTTTTGCCATCGACGCATCAGAAAGCCTCACTCAACAAGGTTTTGACAACGAGCGTTTCTTTGCTCAGCAGGTAGTCCGACGTATTGCCAGTTTTGGAAAAGACGTTAGCGCGCGTTACGCTGCCGTGGTGTTCTCGACCAACGTCACTTTGGTATTCGACTTCACGGTGGAGCAGACGACCGCCTCCATTGTGGCTAGTCTCGAGGAGTTGCCGTATTTCCAAGGTGAGAGTTTATTATTATTATTATTATTATTATTATTATTATTATTATTATTCACGTCTGTTTAAACGCCGCCTTTTTATATCTTTCACCAATTTAATTTTTCATTCTATTGTTGTTTTTTTTCTTTGATAACGTATGGACTATACTATATTACTATTGTAAACCACATGGCCTTCAACACACCAGTACAGTACAACCTGTGCACCTAGGTCTACATGTAGCTACTTTGAATATCTCAATAATTCAAGGCTTCATAATTACCTAACCAGCATATTATACACTTTATGATTAACAGCTTACCATTCTCTACATTATATCCATGCTTTTAGGTAGAACCAATATCCCTGATGCCATGAATGCCTGTGGTATTATTCTGTCCGCGGAGTCGTTTGGTGGAAGACCCACGGGATCCGTGCTCAAGACAGCCTTAATACTTACTGATGGTGTCGCAAATGAAGGTCTGGGATATTCAGTATAATGAACTGGTTCCAGCTAATATTATATTACGTGTAGTAATTTTGTAGAAGTTACTTTCGTTTTTGATTAACTTGGGCTACTTTCTTTTTAAATATCTGGTTATTTACATTGTGCATAAATATTAATATCATTTCTTGGTAGCCACTATAGGTGGCCTGGTAAACTAGTGGGACCATGTCATTTGTAGTAGGGGAGTTTACACCCATCACAACACCCTATTGAAAGCCCCAATCCGTATTAGCCCCGTCCTTCTCCACTTCCCTAACATGAGAGCGTAACTTTTCACAGGATTCACTTGTGATTCACCATGACCTAATTTTCAAGGTTAATTCACTAACCATTAATAGAATAGCCTTTTGCAGGGAGTTCAACTATACAAGCTGCAGCGAAGAACATGCGCAGTCTCGGTGTGCGCAGCATAGCGATTGGCGCTGGCCCCGGAGTCAACAGGTCACAGTTGTACGAGATTGCGCAGAACGACTTCCGGTTCGTGTTTCAGGTTGAGGACACGGAGAGCCTCGGGGACATTGTTGATAGCATTGGTCTGGCGGCTTGTAATGGTAAAGGTTAAAATGAGCGTACTTGTGAAAAAAAATTAATTAAAAATGTGTTTATTTATTGCAATTTATTTTCAGTTTTGTGCCTTTTCTTGCAGTAATTATCAAATTATTTTTTCTTCAACATTCAGTATTTAACTTAATTTTTCAAAAAATTAGATATTATATTTAAATGCTCCAACTTCTATTCTTGTCACGTGTGTATTGCAACTACATGTACGTACACCTATCGGCATATGCCAATGCTATAGATTGCGGTTTTTCCAGTACATCACAAGGACATAAATGTTTGTTTGATCTGATTCAACATTCTGCAATATTCTTTTAGTAACATATACAGGTCCGACAAGGACAAAAAATAACGAAATTAAAACTTTGCCGTTTGCTTCAGTTGTGCCATCGACAACATCGGCCCCCACCCCTCCCCCAACCACTGCAGCGCCATCTACAACAACGCCAACAACAACAACAACAGCGCCACCTACAAAACCACCGTCTACCACGACATTACCACCGACAGAACCTCTGACGACAACGTCACCTACTGAGCCGCCTACAAAAACTGAGCCAGCAATCCCATCAACATCGGGTATGAATATCTACTTAACGTACATCTTTGCAGGTCATTTATTAACATGAAGGCCTATCACAAATCATTTAATACTCAATTTGATCAGTTCAGCCATTATTTATACTGCAGAAACTACTTTTAAAGATACTGTGTAGTATGTTAACTGAATTAATCTTTCTTTGGTGTTATCAGTGCATTAAAATATAAACTTTTATTTATATCTGTTTCAGTACCTTGTTTGTGGTCGGGGTGGTCTTCCTGTGATGCGCCGTGTGGCGGAGGAATACAAAGACGGACAAAAGACTGCTGCAGCTGTTCTCCAAGAATAGAAATCAGATCGTGTAACCATGAGGCGTGTCCGCGTGAGTGCAGCCGCCTATCGCGATTTTTTGCATAAATTGCTTCTCAGAATATAAATTAAATTAAAACATTTTTGTAGACCCCCCTTAAAAAATAATTTGATTTCAACTTTAATGATCGGTGTTCTGCTACATCTGCCCTAGGCCTCTCTTTATAATGTATGTGTAAAATGAAAATATTTAGTTTATTTTCAAAATATTATAATAAATACGGTACATCTGTAATTTAAGATTTTTTATAAGCATGAACAATAAAGACGCAATTGCAAGTGATAATTGCCAGTAAAAAAAAACAATATACATGAAGCGTTTTTGTGTCTTCCCTTTACTAGTTGACGGTGGATGGAGCGCGTGGTCCGGTTATGGCGCATGTTCCCTCAGTTGTGGCGACTACGGACAGAGAATACGTTCGCGCACGTGCAGCAATCCCGCACCAACCGGAAATGGTGCCCCATGTGTTGGACCCGCAGCGGAACTATCCAGCTGTGACGTACCGCTTTGCCCAGGTGTGTGTGTGGATGTGTGCGTGTGTATGTGTGTGTGTGCGTGTGTGATGGAAAATATTTCACGTCGATATTTACACACATAGGCCTACTTCATGTTCTGGTGTTTGATGGAAAATTACAAACGATTCAAGCAACATATAGGCCCACTTATAGATTTTGCTGTATATTCTGGCTTTCTTTGCACATTTTTACCAAGTCCATATTTGCTTATTTTTGGGCTATATCTTTTGGTTAACATACATAACCTAAGATAACATAAAATATACAATTGGATATAATTTACTGAATCATATCCACTTTGATTAGACTACATGTATTTGGATTGTATTCCAACTTTTATCAACAGAAAAACAAATCATTCATTCATATTGTCACCCAATATGATATTATCCATTATTAAAAGTATTCTGTTTTCAGTGCATGGTCAGTGGTGTGATTGGTGTGGCTGGTCAGCTTGCAGCGTGACATGTGGCACGGGTATCCGCACGCGCTCACGCAAGTGCAACAACCCTGCGCCTGCGCATGGAGGGGACGACTGCGTAGGCCCTTCTACCACAGAGGAGGTTTGTTTCGAAAGAACGTGTCCTTGTAAGTATTCAACGGTTCGTCGTTTGCTAGTACACGCATGAGTACTGTACAAATTAATGCAAACTGACAGGAGAAGTGCATGTATCTGTCCAAAGTAGAACAGTGGCGGATGTGTGTGTTGGGGGGGGGGGGGGAGGTCCTGAAACCCCCTTCGATTTCTGGAAAAAAAAAATTACACCAATG